AGATCTGTACCCCATTTTTAATTGGATTATTTGGTTTGTTGAGATCTAGTTTCTTGAGTTCTTTATATAATTTGTATATTGGCCCTCTGTCAGATGTGGACTTGTGAAAATCTTTTCCCATTCTGTAGGGAATTGCATTACAGAGGTTGTTCAGTTTCATGAGGTCCCATTCATTAATTGTTGATCTGAGTGTCTGTGTTATTGATGTTCTGTTCAGGAAGTGGTCTCCTGGGCCAATATCTTCAAGGTTACTTCACAGTTTCTCTTCTATCAAATTCAGTGTATCTGCTTTTATGTTGAGGTCTTTTATCCACATGGACTTGAGTTTTTTTCAGGGTGATAGATGTGGATCTCTTTGCATTCTTCTACATGCTGACATTCAGTTAGACAGCACCGTTTGTTGAAGATGTTTTTTTTCAATGTGAACATCTGGCTTCTAATAAAAAATTAGTTGTCCACAGTGTAATGTATAGTTTTTCCCTCCTGCTGCCTGGGCCCTGTCGAGCTGTCTGAACCCCCACATAACACACAGGATACTATATTAATTATGAAGATGTTGGCCATTTGTTATTGTTTCTCATTGGCTAGCTCTGACTTAATTATTGACCCATAATCACCAATACATATTTTTATAAGGACTTATCTTTCCAAGAACGCAGACTTGCATTCCCTCTTCCCGGGAATCACATAGCGAAGGCTCCCCTCACTACATTTCCCAGAATCCTCCTAGACTCCTAGTCCCACCTATCTTGATTCCATATGGGCCAACAGTGCTTTGCTGACATAGACACAGGACTTCCCCATAACCACAGGTGTGTAGATTTATGTCTTGATCTTTCATTCAATTCCACTGATCAACAAGTATGTTTTTATGATGATACTAGGCTGTTTTTATTACTATAACTCTGTAGCACAACTTGATTTCAGGGATGGTGATAGCTCCAGCAGTTCTTCTGCTATTCAAGATTGCTTTAGCTATCCCTTTGTGTGTGTAGATTTCTTTTGGTATAGTAGTCATTTTTACTGTGTTAATCTGATTGATCCATGAGCATGGGAGATCTTTCCATATTCTGATATCTTCTAAAATGTCTCAAAGTTTTTATCATACAAGTCTTTCATTTGCTGGGTTTGAGTAACCCAAATATATTTTATATTATTTGAGGTTATTGTGAAGTGTGTTATTTCCCTGATCTCTTTCTCAGTCCATTTGTCATTTGTATATAGTTTTGTGAGTTATTTTTATATCCAACTACTTTGATGAAAGTGTATATGAGTATATGAGCTGTAGGTGTTCCCTGGTGGAAATTTTTGGGTTATGTATACCATCATATCATCTGCAAATAAAGATACTTTTGATTCTTCCTTTCCAATATGTATCCATTTGATCTCCTTCAGTTGTCTTGTTTGCTCTAACTAAGGTTTCAAGTCTGAGGAAGGAGGATCTCTGTGCAAGCTTGGAGCTACTCTGGTATACTTGGTGAGTTCCTGGCTAGCCTAGTCTGCATAGTGAGTTACAGGTAATCTAGGGCTATAAAGTGAGACCCTTTCTTAAAAAAGAAAAGAAGAAAAAGGGAAGTCTAAGAGATGTCTCAGAGGGTCAGATTCCTGCACCCATGTGGAAGATTGATGTGGTTATGTTCAGTTGTAGCCCTAGCACTTGGGGGAAGGAGACAGGTAGATACTCGATGGACATCTAAAATAGTGATCTCAAGCTTTAGTGAGAGGATCCCTAACTTCAACCTCTGCTGGTTTAACTCTCTCTCTCTCTCTCTCTCTCTCTCTCTCTCTCTCTCTCTCTCTCTCTCTCTCTCTCTCTGTCCCATACACACACATACATATACACTTATACACACACAGGGACATGCACAGATGTGCATATACACATACATACATGCAAAATAAATAAATGACATTTTTAAAAATACAGATAAATCCGTAGTACATTTTTATAAGCATATCTCCAAATGCATGTGTAAATCCTTCAGAACCAACTTGGAAGGATACAAGTAAATCCAATAGGGGTGTCTGCTTTCAGGAAGGGGATGAAGAAGACTCTGGTAGAAGATACTAAACATAGGGAACTTAATTTAACCTTACTTGTAACATTGCAGCTCTTATGAAGAGTTTACTTATATATTAATTTAAATATTATGCAGCATGCGTACACACAAAAACATCACATGGTACTCCATAAATACATATAACTTTTATGTGTTAATAATTTTTACAAGAACCAGTGAATTCAGACTGACAACTATACTTTGATTTATAATTTTGATACACCCAGAAATGTACTAATGAGACCTGGAAACATATGAAACATATATATGAAGCTAACATAGAAAAAATCACAATGCCAAGTAGTTAATTTTCATGTGCTTTCATTTCTGCACCTCTAAGGTTTAATTATGAATGCGTTTTGATGAAACACACTATTTTGTACAATTAATGTATATGAATAGGGAGAGAATCTATCTAATAGGGCAATTATTTGAGGTATATAATAAGGATTACAACTCATTAAAGTTTCTGCAAGTTATGTTACAGTTCTGTTTCTCATCATCAAACAGCATCCTGGTTTTCCTGCACCAAGCTCTTGTGAGATAGTCAGCATGAGTCAGTCTCCTGTGTCTTACCAGTTCTGGAACACGGAGCAGATCAAGTTTCAAAGACCACAAGACTGAAAATATAAATTGGACTGACGACGAAGGCACCAATGCAATGCCAGTTTGCTAGCAGGGTCTGTTGATAGCCAGCTAGCTATCATTCTTTTTTTTTGTCTTTTTTGTTTTTGTTTTTCGAGACAGGGTTTCTCTGTATTGCTTTTGGAGCCTGTCTTGGAACTCTCTCAGTAGACCAGGCTGGTCTCGAACTCACAGAGATCCGATTGCCTCTGCCTCCCGAGTGCTGGGATTAAAGGTGTGAGCCACCAATGCCCGTCATTCTTTTTTTATTACTTTAATTTTAAATAGCTTGTTTCATATGTCAATCCCAGTTCCCTCTCCCTCCCCTCCTCCTGCACCCCTCCACCATCCCCCACAGCCTCCCACCCTATCCCCACTTCCTTCCACATAGGGGATATCTAGAGTCTGTCATTTCACTCAGGGCAGGATCCAGACACTCCCCTAAGAGTCCAGGCTGAGAGAGCATCCCTCTCTGTGTTATGGACACACGATGTCTGTTGGTATGCCAGGGATAAACACTGATCCACTGCTCAGGGCCCCATAGGTTGTCCAGGCCTCCTCACTGACTATTACACTCAGGGGGTCTGGATCAGTCCCATGCTGGCCTCCCAGCTGTCGGTCTGGGGTCCAAGAGCTCCCCCCTGTTCAGATCAGCTGTCTCTGCTGGTTTTGCCAGCCCATTCTTTGCCAATTGGCTCATCACTCCTCTCTCTCTGTCGCTGGGTTCCATGGGTTCAGTTCAGTGTCTAACTGTGGGTGTTGCTAGATATCATTCTTAGGGTTATCTCACTTCTGTCACTCCTAATCCAGTTATGATATCAGGTGAAGGGAGGTCTAGGCAGAAGAAATATAAAGAGTAGAAAATTCATTTTAGTATCAACAGGTGGTGGTTTGAGGAATTATGGATAATTTCAATATTTTATTTCACTTTTTTGTATTTTGCAAGTTTTCTTTAGTGATCAAATATTTTTTAATGTTTGACAACGTGTTTAAATAATATTGAGACGAAGGAAATCCAGAGGACAGATGCTTGAAGGAGACAAGGGTAGAGAAAAAGGTTTCTGAGGCTACAGTCTGAGTGAGGGCAAGACATCAGGGAGTTAGGGGGTCTGAGCAAGGGGATACTCTCTCCAAATTGAACTCCCTTTCCCTGTGCACTTAGGACTAGAAGCGGCTTACTTGCCAGTCATTGCATTTACGTAGGTAGTGACTGCAGTGGAAACTATTTGCGGAGAAATCTGTGTCACTGTATCATTGACTGCATCATTGACTGCTATTTAACCTGAAAATCCTTGCTCAGCATTCTTGAGCACTCCCCTTTATCATCATTAGGAAATATTCGCTAGTCACCTTCCAAGGTGGCTGACTATTTGCTGTACTTATTAAGAAAGAGGCTGTGGCGGCATCGGTCGTCCAGAGGCAACTTGTAAAGAGAGAGACTTAAGAGGGAAAAAAAGAGGAACGAAAATGCAAATTCACTGTGGCCAGAGTGAGGTGGCCAGAGAAGGCTTAGATTTAGAACTGGAAAGGTCAAGCCACAGTCTAACTCTCTTACCCTGCGACTCAGAAAGCAGGTGGTACTCTAACTGAGCCCTGACTGGGGTGCAGGGTTAGGAACAGCAAAGAGCAAAAGGTGGGGGTGGGGACAGCAGTGCGCAGAGGCAAAGGCCCTGGGGACCGCTTGCTGGAGGCAGATTCTCTAAGCCTGTCACAGTGTCCTCTGCAGCCTTCTTCCCTAACACTCATCTCCCGCTTAATTTCAGCTGAATATTTGTTGCATTGGCAGAATCACCTACACACTACCGGGAAACCTTCCAAAGCAGATACTTCACTGCCAGCTGTCCCACCAAGGCCACCCTCAGTCACTGCTTGCTCCCTGCCCTGCTCCCCGCCTGCAACACTTGCTTCCTCAAAGATCCCTAACTGCTGTTTTCTTCCTCCGCCGGCCGCGGAGTTGCCCGTCTCAAAGGAGGCAACAAACCCAGGGAGCTCTCTTTTGTTTGGTTCTGAGTTTAATCCGACTTTTTAGTCAAATAAAGATCCGGAATTCAAATCGCTCAGCCCTCTCCTTTCCGTTTTGAAGTTCCCGTGGGTTCCTAAAACTAGTCCCTCAGAAGAGAGAGCAACAGCCTGTGAGCACAACAGGCGTGCGAAATTAACATAGTCACTTGAACTGTTTCGAAAATAACCCAAGAAGAGCACATTGCCTACGGTGGCACATTCCAGGCAGAGGGCGGGGAACAGCGGGCCCGTGGGCGCACCGCGCAGCTGCAGGACCCACGCCCCGCCCCCGCACGCTCGCCAGGGGAGGCGGTGCCGCGGCTGACCCGCTGCACCTGCCAGCCTGGTGGCTCCCGGCGGTTGCTATCTCTCCCAGTCGAGCGCAGGATGCGGGTTCAGCACCCGGAGGTCACGGGAGACTGAGTGGAGACCCGAGCGTTGCAGAACGAAGCCTAGACCACAGGAAGTCGAGCCGCAGCCTGAAGCGGACTCCGAGGCCCCTAGAGCGGAGCGCCTTGCGGAAACCATTGGCACCTCAAAGGTTTCCTCAGGCCTGGTGCCCAAGCTTCCCGTGTGTGGATTGGGGAAATAGGAACGAGGCGCGATGAGGAGCCGGAGTAATTCGGGGGTCCGGCTGGACGGCTATGCTCGGCTGGTGCATCAGACCATCCTGTGCCATCAGGTAAGTGTAGGCGAGAGTGAGGTGTGAGCGGCTGGATACTGACCCTGGGTGAACTCCGGAATGCCTGTGACTGTGGGGAAGTGCTAAAAGATCCTGAAGGAAAACCAGAGGAATAACCAAAGTGTGGCATGAATAACCGCCCCCCCTCACTCCGTAATTGCAGAGTGGTGATTTCTGGGTTCAGAAGTAACTGTCCTCTGCCCCCAGCTACAGCTGGGTTCCAGAAGCAGAGTTGCAAGAGGTGGCAACACTTGTTTATTGACACCCACACCCCAAGTTTGTGCCATCTATCCCCCCGCCACACACACCAAAGATGTAGGAGAACATTTAGCCATCCCAAGAGACCTTAGACTATTGTGAAGGTCAAGGCACATTGTGTATACTTTTTTTTGAGACAGGGTTTCTCTGTATCCTTTTGGAGGCTGTCCTGGAACTCGCTCTGTAGAGCAGGCTGGCTTCAAACTCACAGAGATCATCCTGCCTCTGCCTCCCGAGTCCTGGGATTTAAGGCGTGTGCCACCAACGCCCAGCTATGTATACTTTTCTTTAAACTGTTTTGCTCAGTGGCTTAGGCTGGCCTTCAACTTGGGTTCCTCCTGCTGTAGCTTCCTGAATTTGGATAACAGACCATAAACCAGTGTGGTTTGTTTGTTTCCTAAATTGTTTTTATTTTGTTTGTTTGTTCCAAGCTGACCTCAAGTCTCCATCCTCCTGCTTCATCTCCTCGGTGCTGGGATTACAGGTCTGCACCACTGCACTTGGCTAATATATACTTTTTGGAGTTGTTCGGTTTGGTTTTGAAACCAAGTTTTACTCTGTAGCCTATGGTGGCCTGAAACTCACTATGTAGCCAAGGCTGGCCTTGAAGGAGCACCAGTCTTCCTGCCTCAGTCTCTCAAGCCAAGGAATTCTAGGCCTAAGGCACCACATCTGACTGTATGTATATATATATATATATATTTGTGAATGTATTTTTCTACTTCTTTAGTAGTTGAATTTAGCTCAAAATTACATTGTCTTTAAAATGCCTTTTAGCAATTCTTAGTAATACCTTTAGCAATACCTTTAATATGCCTTTATTTTAATAATACCCATATTTTGGATTTGTAAGCCTTCAGCCAACTTTTTCCTTAGTCTAAAGACAGCACGTGGAAAGATACCAAACTTTTCTGTTACAAAATGAGTGTGTTCTGCAACACTGATTAGCAATAGCATCATGCTCACTAGTCCATAATACTTTCATTGTATACTTAAAACTTTCTGAGAGAAGCTGGGTGGTGGTGGCGCATGCCTTTAATCCCAGCACTTGGGAGACCAGCCTGATCTACAAGAGCTAGTTCCAGGACACCCAAAGCCACAGAGAAACCTTGTCCCCCCCAAAAAACTTGCTGAGAGAGTAAATCCTACCATATCCAAGTGTGGGAATGGGTGTATTAACTTGACTGTGCTAGTCATTCTACAATACATTCATGTATGTGTCAAATTATGATCTTGTATACCGTAAAATATGTATAATTGTATTGTCAGTTATAATTCAGTAAAGCTGGGGAATAATGTCTGCCTGAAATTGGTAAAAAGAAAAGGAAATTCTAAAACTCAAGAATGGGGAAGTAATAGAAAGACTAAAATTTACAAATAAAATATTTCATAGATTAGATTATGTTTCCTTTAATACTCTGAGGTTAGCTGCCTGTCTTCTCTTGATTGATCTTGCAGAATCCAGTAACAGGATTGCTTCCAGCCAGCTATGATCAGAAAGATGCCTGGGTCCGAGATAATGTGTATAGCATCCTGGCTGTGTGGGGTTTGGGCCTGGCATATCGGAAAAATGCAGACCGTGATGAGGACAAGGCAAAGGCCTATGAACTGGAGCAGGTAATCAAAACAAAAAAAAGCACAGAGATGTGGATCTATGTGTGACTGTAGTGGGGTGAGTGGGCGTTGAAGGAAATGTCACTTCTAGGCCACCTTGCTGAAATTGCATTCTATAAAGTTTTCCTGTACTGTGACTGAAACAGGTTTGGTTTGGTTTGGTTATTGAAGTGGAAACTTGAAGCTTGCAGATTCGAGGAAAGGGGTGTAGTATGTTCATTACTTTTAAAAATCCTACCCTGATATAGTTCCTGAAGTGATATTGTTCCTAAAGGGTATTCCTCTGAGTGTAGTTTGGGTTCCATCATTTTAGATATATACTATTTTACTTACTTTTGGAAAATAATTGTGGTATCTGTATAAGCAGCATAACTGACACAAATCAACAGGCCTTCCTCATTAGACAAAAGTAATGACTTTGTTGATCTTTACAGCTGTGGCCACTGTTTTGGAGAGCCTGTTGCCCACTTTGGAAAAAAACGATGGAATTTTTGCTCTAACCTAGGAAGTACAGACTTTTTGTGGAAATAATGCCATAATAGAAATTTGGAAGTCATATGAGTATTCTTTTCAAACCCATAGTCCTACATCCAACCCTGAATGTTTTGGTATTTTGATCTCAGCAGTTTGTTCCTTGTTTGATTTGCTATAAATTAACATAAGCAGAACTGTAAATACATGCCTGATGTAATTTGATCAAAACTTTTCAAGATTATTAGAATAAATCTGTTGTCCCATCATTCTGCTGAGTTGGTATGTTTCCATATTTGACCCAAGTAGCAAAATGAGGAAAAAGGTGAATTGCCGGTTCTAAAATTTTAGTGTTCTATTATATAACCTTTCACATAGCTGAAAATATTTTTATATCACCATATTAGCAACTTTAGAATGTTTGAGAATATTATGGAAATGGGAACTAGCTTCAGAAAAGAAAGGCTTTTGTGGGAATTCTAAATTTTATATGGACTTGTTTTATTAATCAAAACAAACTTGATTATTAGGTCTTTGTTATTACTAGGTCTTATGTTTTAAATACTGGAGATTAGAAACCCACCCATCTTTGTAAAGGGTCAGATAGTAAATATATTTCTGGCACATAGGTCACTTGTCTGTAATTACTCAGCTCTGTAGGTATAGCAGAAAAGAACCAGAGATGATATGTAAAGAATTAGAATGGCGATGTTCCAATTAAACTTTATTTACAGAAACAGTGATGGGTTGGATTTGTCTCTGACCTAGATGAGTAATTCTAAACTCTAGCCCTACATTGGATTGCTTGGAAAGCTTTTCAGAGCCATCCTTACTGGATCTCACTTTAAAACAATTTAAGATTGTAATATAGACAGATCTAATAATGTGCCTAGATAATAACTGATTTATAACTAGTAAATGAACACAGATTAAATCCAATAATCCACGGATTAAATTTCTACCTATTGCCAACTTAACATTACTGTGTTGATTTCTCCCAAACATTGTTATCATTTATATTCTTTCTTCCAACTCTTATTTTACCTTTTCTCTCGAAGTCTGAGAATAGAAGAGAATTGTGAACGAGAAAAAGAAATGGATTTAACTAACTTCTATATTCTATATTGGAAATAAAATTATACACAAATGTCCCCTTTCTTGGGCATATATCTATAATCTTATAGCTATAAAAATCAATACTGAGGTAAATCAAGATCTCTCTTTGGCAACCTCCACTTCTTTTATTTATTCTCTTGTATCATTGCTCATCTTTTTCATGGCTTTTCTATTACCTTTATGAGAATGATTTCCACATCTCTTCCTTTAACTCTTATCTCACCTGAGATCCAAACTCAAGTTTTTGTCTGCTTATTAGTTTTCTCTGTGTACCCTATGGTTCTTCAAACTCTGTGTGCCTGAAAACCCACCTTTCCAAGTAAAACCAACCACAATACTCTACCAAGCAGTAGCAACATGCCACTGTTCCTCTTAACGGTGTCCTCATTTTATATTCACCCTCACAATATTACTTTAAATTTTTCTCACAGCATGGTCTGTGGAACACATGGCCAATTCAAGATCTTCTAGATAGCAAAACAGAAAGCTTTGTAGAGAATTGGAGAAGCTATTCTATGCTGTGATGTTCTAAAACATACTTGCTACTCATGCTAGGCATACGTGTGATATATAATCAAAGTGTCCATACATATAAAATGAAAATAAAGCTTTAAAGGTAAAATGAAAATTTTTAAAAGATGCTATTGAAACTGTAGGCATATACTAGAGGATGTTTAGAGTCATGTGAGTCATGGAGTCGCCCCTATTAGATGACTGGCATTTTTTAAGGTAAAACTGTCAAGCTTATATTATTTAAAGCCAAGGAATCATAAACTATGACTTTTTATTCATCTTTTTGCTTCAGTCTGTCCTGTGCTCCTATAAAGTAAATGCCATGTAAATAGAACCCAGGATAGGGTTACTTGTTCTCAAAAGGTCATGTACCGACTGGAGTTGCTGAGTAAGTGTTCCTGTGTCTCAGTATGTTTATAACAGTCTTGTTTCCATTTATTTCTGCAGAGTGTAGTGAAGTTAATGAGGGGCCTGCTGCACTGCATGATCAGACAGGTATGGCATTGGTAACAACTTCTAATAAAACATATCATCACAACATCTTAATAATGCTTATAGCCTTTTTTCTTCAAGTCTTTTCCCTCCTTTTCTAAGTGATTTTTAAACTGTTTAAACTCTTAGGTCCAGATCAGTTCTAGAAGTAATAAATTTTCAGATTTGTAAAAAGATATCACAGTCCATTTGTCATATAATTTCTCACATCTTAAGTGTATAGAGAAAAATACAATAAAAACATTTCTTTATAGGGAATTACTCCTTTTACATTAAATGGAATAAAGTCTATAAATAGCCTTATATTGATTTGAATTTAGTGTTTCCACCAAACGAGTTTTGTTGTAAAATGTAGTTAGAAAAAGATCAAAGTATTTTCAATTTTAGGATTGGGGATAAGGGATCTTGAACTTGAAATAATTGGCATTCCCTAACCTTAATGTAGCATCCTTTTATATATGAATTGAAAATCTGCATGTGTCCCTTACTGGTGAATTACCTGCTAGAGCTTTGTCTCTTTTTATTTGTAGGTTGTCTGTTTCTTGCCTGCCGAGTTCTTAAGGATATTAAACATTTGTCACATACATTACAAATATGTTTACAGTCTACCATTTATGTTTTGAATTTATGACATTTTCTCCACACAAACGTATTTTAGTAGGAAACCTTTATTCTAGGATCCTAAAACATATATACTTAATCAGACTTAACTATGTGAAAGTAGAAAGAAACCAATTCTCAACTTCTAAACTTCCTTATCTACAAATGATTTTAAATGTATATACAATTAATTATTGTATATATCTCTTTACTAGTCTGTTCACATATACCATTTTTCTGTGTCTTTTCTACTTCATTTTTCAGACATTTATACTTTCTACCTTATTAAATAGGTATAGACACAAATTTCAAGAACATATTTAAGAGATCCTGGTTAATATACATCAGGGGCATAAATAATCACAACTACATTTCAGGAATTAGGTCAGGAACTAATAGCGCTCTCTCTCTCTCTCATGTGTGTTAGGAATTGAACCCAGGGCTTTATGCACCCTCAGAACACATTACCATTATGCGATGCCCCCAACCCCCAATGAGTCTTTCTAATTTGTAATTTCAGCTTTCTATAATATTTCTCTGTGACTCTGTATGGTTCTCATTAACACTTTTCATGGCATCTCCAAAATTTATCCTCTTGGAATTAAAGAGATGGCTCAGCATTTATGAGCACACATCGCTCTTGTAAAGGACCGGAACAAAGAGCACATATTGCTCTTGCAGAGGACCTGAGTTTGGTTCCCAGCACCCATGTTGGGGGGGCTCACGACTGCCTGTAACTTTAGTTCTAAGGAATCCAAGAAATCTCTGGGTGTACTCACACCTAGGAACTGCTATGCTCACACACAAAAATAAAAATATCCTCCTCTCTCAATGTGTCTGTAGATTCATGCTTTAATTTCAGGAACAAATGTGTAATGCTGAGTTATTTTACTAATGTGCTAGTTAATACATTTGAGCTTCCAGTTTCTCTACAATATGACAAATCAACCATTTGAAAGGCATAGAAGTGTTGATGAACAGAAAATATCTGTTTTTCAGCATTTGTTGTTTTTTATTAAGAGTAAGAGATTTTCTCAGTGTGGAGGGAGACAGGTAACAATATATTTTAAATATTCACTCAGGTCTAGGCTTAGGGAAGGTGGAGTGCAGTGGTGTATACCATAGCACTACAGATACATAGAATATGGGTTGACTTTTCTGACTATCCTTCTTACACTGTTTTCTTTTCAGGTGGATAAAGTAGAGTCCTTCAAGTATAGTCAGAGTACTAAGGATAGTCTCCATGCCAAATACAACACCAAAACGTGTGCCACTGTAGTGGGTGATGACCAGTGGGGACACCTGCAGTTGGATGCTACTTCTGTGTACCTGCTCTTCCTAGCACAAATGACTGCCTCAGGTCAGTACACAGAGAGAATTACTGCTTGCCCTTAAGCTTGGAGCATCTACTCTGGTTCATTTGGCTTCTCTGTAGGTATTAGCTAGAAAATAAAATGTTTACAGTGCACAAAGAAGCACATTAGAAATAATGGGATTTTATAAGTTTTACACAGCTAGATAAGTTTTTTGAGGTCTAGGCAATATCTTACTGTATTAAGAAACGAATTTGCAGTACTAATCAATACTCTTTAAAAATAGGAACCTGGAATTCTTGACTAAGTCTTTAGACAGGCATTTTTAAATGTATTAATTCTCAGATACCAGGAGATAGGAAGGAATATTGAAGGTTTTTCTTCTTTTCATACTATACACTTATATGCCTGTGATTAGTTTAGCTATAGAACCAACCACTTTATATATTATTAATGAGTGTTATCTGAATCTAAATGTATGTTTTATTACTAAACAAAATTCTATGTAAGTAGTTTGTGATTGTATTTTAATGCTTGATATGTAAAAGAAAATTCTAAGAAATATGGTAGCTCACTTCTGTCTATAATTATAACACCTGGGAGGCAGATACAGAAGGTTTGATGTAAGTTCCAGGCTAGCCCTGGTCTATATAGCAGCTTCTAGGCCAGTCAAAGCTATATAGTGAGATCCTGTCTCAAAACAAACAAACACAGTTTCATTTATAGATGTTAAATTAGAAGTGGAAGCAATCCTATTATATCCAGTTCCTAAACTTAATAAGAACATTTCCAGATCATTCTGAGTAAGTAAAATGTATTCATAATACCATTGACTCAAAGATTGTAGGGGAAAGGCCTGAGTTTAATTGTTTAAAATGATGGAGCAGTTTGTTTAGGGATTCTACAAAACAATGGAGCTATTGGTTAAAGACAGTTGTGGGGGTTTAGCTTGATACAAACAGGCAACATTGTCTTCTAAGGGTGACAATGTATGTCCCCAAGGCTTTATATCCTCTGAGGACTACCTGAGGCTGCATGCTATAGGGGAATAGCCTTTACTTAAATAGTTCAGTCAAATCCCTAAATAAGCAAAAAAATCCCCAAAGAAGGTATCAGGATCTAGTGTTTTCATAACATACTCTGTAACAATACCCAGTTTTCAACCTAAAATTTTAGACATAACGCAACAAGAAAATAGGAAGCAGAGGCAGAAGGATTATAGATTAGAGGTTTCCTGGAATACATAAAGGCCCTGTCTGAGAAAGAAAGGGGGAAGAGGGAAAGAGAGCAAAGGTTGAAAAGAGAGTGTGAAAGAGAGGGAGCATGGGGGGGGTGATGGATCACATCTGTAATCCCAGAATTTGAGAGGTGGAGTCAAGAGAATTGGGAGTAAAAGGCCAGGCTCAACTGCACAGTCAGTTCAAGATCATCTTAGGATACATAAGACTCTTTGCTCAAAAAAGAAAAAAAGAGAAATAAAAGGAAGAAAGAAAGGAACAAAAAAGAAAATAGGAAGGAAAGTTCTCTTGGATATGATACCAAAAGCATAAACACCTAAAGAAAAATTGTAATTGGAATTTACCAAAATTAACATTATGTTTGAAAGAAGCCATTCAAGAAAATAAAAAGCAGTCTATGTATAGTATGATGCCCATTTGTGATCCTTGCACCTGGGAAGTGTAGATAGGAGGATCCAGAGTTGAGGGTCATCCTCAACTAAATAGCAAATTTGATGCTGACCTGTGAGACCCTATTTAAAAAGACAAACACCCCCTCTCTCAATGTATGTATGTATTTGTGTTATGTGTGTTTTTTGGTAAAAGTCAACCTATAGATATAGAAAAAATATTTGCAAATCATATATAAGCTATTTGTATCTAGTATGAAGAACTCTCAACTCATTTCTTAGAGGATTAGCAACATAATTAAATCAGATCTGGTGGGGTGATACATGATTCTAAATCTAGTTGTTGGAAGGTAAAGGCATGGGGGTGTCAAGGCTATAGGGAGACCCTGTATCAAAACAAAAGAGAAAAAGAAAAGAAAACATAGCCTCCTTTAAAATGGCCAGAGTGGACTAGAAAGATGGACCAATATTTAATAGCACGTGCAGCTCTTCCAGAGGACCTGGGTTCAATTTTAGCACCTATATAGTCATTAACAATCATCTCTAACTCTGGTTCCAGGAAATCTGATGCCTTCTTCTGTACCACATGGGCACAGCATATATGTGGCACCCAGATATACATGCAGGCAAAGACACACTCATAAAAATGTAAAAAGTGGTTGGAAGATCTAAATTGATCTTTCCTTAAAGAGTATGTATAAATAACTACTAAGTACGTGAAAAGGTGCTGTGCACCATCTGCCACTAGAGAAATGCTGACCTGAATCACCATAAGAACTATTCCGGCCACTCCAGAATAAAAGTAATCAAAAAGAAAGAAAAAAGGTGTTGCTGAAGGTGTGGAGAAATTGGAACCCTCATCCACTGCTCTGAGAAACGTAAAATGAGGGCAAGGGAGGTGTCTCAGTAGCTAAAAGTGCTTGGGACTAAGTCTGACAACCTGAATGCAATCCCTGGACCCATATGGTGGAATTTGGGAACCAGTTCCCCTCAAGCTGTCCTCTGATTTCCTTGTGTACCATGGCATGCACACACACAAATAAATATAATTGAAAACTGTAATGTAAAATTATACAACCACTTTGGAGAGCAGTCTAGTAATGCCTCAGAAGCTTAAATATAGAATTGCCATATAATCCAGCAGATTCTTTCCTAAGTGTGTAGATATTTAAGAAAAACGGCAAGATGTTCACACACAAAAGGTGTACATGAATTTTATAGCAGCAGTATTTATGATAGCTAAAAAGTAGAAACATTCCAATGTCTATCATCTGATAAGTAACATATGCTACATTCAAACAATTCAGTATGTTTTGCAATGAAGGAAGTACTGATGAATCTCACAATACAAAGTGGCCCCCAAAATATTGTTTTTGGTGAACAAACACTGATATAAAGCCTGCATATGATACACTTCCATTTATATGAATGTCCAGTGAGTAAATAATTACTTTCTGTGATGATGAACATATCCCAGAATTGATTGTGGTGATGTATATATACTGTACACACAGTGAAAACCATTATACTATATGCCTGGAATCAATGAGCTATATGATAGACTACCTCAGTAAAAATGTTTGTAAACATACAGCAAAGAAAGGTAGAAGCCAGTTATGCTGGACAGGTAAGTACAAGTCAGTTGAAGTAAAGTTGATTTAAGCTGGGGCCTTGCAGCGATCTCTGACCAACTCTTGTTTTTTTCCCTTAAGGACTCCATATCATCCACAGCCTAGATGAAGTCAATTTTATACAGAACCTTGTATTTTACATTGAAGCTGCTTATAAAACTGCTGTAAGTACTTATTTTAGAATGGACTTAAAGAATGGTTTTGGGTTTTTGTTTTATTTTTTTGGTTTTTCAAGACAGGGTTTCCCTGTGTAGCTTTGGAGGCTGCTCTGGAACTCACTCTGCCTCCCAAGTGCTGGGATTAAAGATGTGTGCCACCAATGCCCGGTGAATGGTTTTGTTTTTAATACGCTGCTGAACAACTCATTTTTGCTCATACTAATGAACCTTGTAATAAACTAATCAAAACGGCTCCTTACAAAACCATTTTCAGTTTCTTTACCAAGATCTTCATTCCTCTGCCTGCCCTCTCACCAATGTGTAACAGAGATAAAGAGGGTCCAAATGCCAAATGCTATGCTTTCATTTCGTTCAAATTCCCTACTTCATGGTGTGTATTTGGCAATCTAAGACTAAGTTATAGTCATTATATTGCTATTTTAATTTAATTAATTTTATTAGAGCATCTCTAGCTCAGGCTGGTCCCTTTTGTTTGTTTGTTTTTTGTTTTTCGAAACAGGGTTTCTCTGTGGCTTTGGAGGCTGTCTTGGAACTAGCTCTTGTAGACCAGGCTGGTCTCGAGCTCACATTGATCCATCTGCCTCTGCCTCCCGAGTACTGGGATTAAAGGTGTGCGCCACCACCGCCTGGCTCAGGCTGGTCTTGAACTCACTACATGCAGATGATCTTAAATTTAGGATTCTTCTGCCTCTACTGCCTGAGAGTGTTTGAGTTACAGGTATGAGCTACCAAAACCAGTTTTATGTGGCACTAGGATTTGAGCGTTGGGCAAGCACTCTTTCAACTGTGCTATATCCCCAGCCCCTTGTGGGCTTATTTTAATTGAAATCTTAAAAAGAAAACATGATTACTGCGTGATGCTATGAGCCATTTGGCTGTACATAAACTTTATTCATGTGTTTATTGTTGGTATACTGATTTAGAATCTACTATACAAAAAGGTTTTTCCCTTATAAACTATCATAAAAAGTAGGTTCATATTAAGTCACCATCTATAATATTTTCTTTTTATTAGTTTAATTTTAAATAGCTTGCTTCACATGTCAATCCCAGTTCCCTCTCCCTCCCCTCCTCCCGTATAATATTTTCTTGTATAAAATGTTGTGTTAGACACTACAGAAATGTGTTTTTCCTTTAGGCTAATAAGAATTTGTTGTTACTGTTCAATGAAACTCTATTCATAATCTTTCAAACCTCAAATAATCCAAATGTCCATCAATAGGTAAATGAATAAATTATAGTATATCCATGAAAGGTAATATTGTTCAACAATAAAGAAGAATGAACTACTGACCGATGTAAAAACATAAATAAATCTAAAAAGCATTATGCTTAGTAGAAGTTTCATAGCTATCAACTGAACTCAGCATAACAAGATACACTAAGACTAGGTATAGACCCTCATATCAAGACTGGATGAGGCAACCCAGTAGGAGGAAATAGGTCCCAGAGCAGGCAAATGACTCAGAGACACCTCCACTCCCATTGTTAGGAGTCCAACAAAAACCCCAAGCTAAACAAGCACAGCATGTATTCAGAGGGCCTGATGCAGACACATGCAGGCTCCGTGGTTGCTGCTCTGTGTGCACCTATGAGCCGTGGTTAGTTGTTTCTGTGGCCTGTGTTCTTGTGGTGTCCTTGACCTCTCTGGTGTAGGCAGACTTTTCTGTCCCATCACCCCACTCCTCAGTAACCCCAAATAGGCTCAATATTAATTACAAATGCTTAGCCAGTAGCCCAAGCTTGTTACTAGTTAACTCTTACATTTTAAATTAACCCATTTATCTTAATTTACATTCTGCCTCGTGGCATTACCTCTCATCTTGCACCTCCTGTTTCTCCTCCATGTCTGGCTGGCAACTCCCCTGACTCTGTCCTTCTTCCCAGTGTCCTTAGTCTGGTTTTCCTGCCTAACCTTATCCTGTCCAGTATTGGCCAGTCAGCTTCTTTATTAAACCAATCACAGCAACATTTATTTACACAGTGTAAAGGACTATTCCACACTCTGGCTCTGTCCTCCTGCTTTTCTGTGGAGGTCTCAGTTCCACCTAATGTTTGACTGTGGGTCTCTGTTTCTGCTCCCATCAGCTGCTGGAGGAAGCCACTTTGATGACAATTGGGGTAGGCACTGATCCCTATGAGTATTACAGAATATCATTGGGAACTTTTTTGTCAGTTGTGTTTGGTTCTACCCTAGGTTTCTGAGCCATCCAGCTTGCAAATTCTGGTCATCCAGGAAGTGTCAGGGATGGGCTCACTCTCAGGGCAATGGCCACAAGTTAGACCAGTCATTTTTTGGCTAGTCCTAAAAGTTCTGCATGGCCATTACCCCAGCACATCTTGCAGGCAGGATACATTGTAGGTCAAAGTTTTGTGACTGGGTTGATGTCCCAGTCCCACCACTGTAAGCCTTGTCTGGCTGCAGAAGATGGCCGGTTCAGGCCCCGTATCCCCCCATTACTAGGAGTCTTTGCTAGGGTCACCCTGATAGATTCCAGGGAGTTTCAAGGGGAGACAAATTGGAATGGAAGAAGTCAAAGTATCACTATTTGCAGATGATATTATAGTATATATAAGCAATCCCAAAAATTCTACCAGTGAACTCCTACAGCTTAAAGAACTTCAGCAAAATGACTGGATACAAGATTAACTTTAAAAAAAGGTCAGTAGCCCTCTTATATATAACCGACAGACAGGCAATGTTTATTTTTTAATAGAATTCCATTGATTGTAATGTTCTTTTTGTTTGATTTTATTTATTATCTGATCCTATTTTCTTCCATAATTTTTATTATTTCCTTAAATCTATTGAATTTTGCTATTTTTCTTGTTTAAGATTTTGAGATTCCATTATTAACTTACTTATTTTGGATCTCTGATTATTTAATAAAAACATTCATATAGCCATAAACCATGGAGACTGCAGCATTAAGAGTTATTGAAAGGTGCATATTAATTCCTGTCATTTTTGTACTTTCCTAATTCTCATTTACTTATTCACTGTTCTAGTATATAGTCTTTCTTGTGACTTCATGACTGTACTTATGTTTTTCTTCAGTGTATGGAATTCCTTCAGACTTCTGTAATGCTATTTTTAGTGGTTGTAAATTAATTTGTGTTTATCATGGAAAGTTTTTCTTTACTCTGTAAGGTTAGCTTGTGCTGGATATAGTAATCCAGATTGGTGAGTATTACCTTTTAGAACTTGAAATATATCATTCCATGCCATTATGGCTTTTATAATTTCTGTTGTGAAATCTAGTATTCTAATGGGTTTGTCTTTATATGTAACTTGGCACCTTGTTGCTCTCACTATTCTTTCTTTGTTCTGTGTACTTAATATTTTAACTAAAATATAATGTAGAAGTTTTTTTCTGGTTTTGTTTGTTTGGCATTCTAAATGGCTCCTGTATCTACATTGCCATCTCTTTCTCAAAACTTGGCACATTTTCTGACTTGATTTATTGAATCACTTTCTTTTCTGTTTTAAAACAGGGTTTCTCTTTGTAGCACTGGCTGTTCTGGAACTCACTCTGTAAGCTAGGCTGGTCTTAGACTTGGAGGTCTGCTTGCATCTGAGTTTTAGGATTAAGAGTGTGCCCCACTACACCTAGCTGAATACATTTTTAATGAGATTGAAGCATCTCGTAGTGACAAACACTGCAGAAGTACTCAGTAAGGAACAGGGAATGACAAAAGTGTACAAGACAAATATAAAAAAGCACAGGAGCCTACCTTAACAATTAACAGTGTAAGCAACAAAATAGTGATAGTATTCCATTATAAACCAGCAAAATTCTAACTATCCATAAAGGTATACTAAAATTAATAACTGAATAAAGGGCTGGCAATATGACAAAGTACTTGCCATATAAGCCTGACAACTTGTATTCAGTTTCTGAACACATGTAAAGGTAGAAGGAGAAAACCAATTCTAGAGAATTGTCCTCTGAGTGCCACATATGCAGAAATAGAATGAGCATACATATATGCACATACACGCCAATAAATAAACAAATGAAAAAAGCAAGGGAGAGTGAACTGTCTTCTTTGGAGAAGGATTACAATTAATGATCATAGAAGTAATAAGGAAAATAGATGAAAGCTATTATTTAAAAATCATAGCAGTTATTTCTGTAAGTAATTAGGAGGAATGCTGAAGCAGTGGGTGGCCACGTAAGGAAAAGCAGGCTATTTGCATCATCATTGACTTGTTTTTCTGACACAAGGTCTTATCTCGGGACTGCAATCATGAGTAATCCCATCTGGTGATAGTTATATAGTGTTAAACTATCTCTCAAAGTATATATTAATTAAAAAGGGGAACGTAAAATGGAAAAATCCAGTACTAACCAAACTACGAATTTTATTTGGCTAGTTTTTAAGTTAGTGTCACAAGGGACAAGATTTGAGAAACCACTATTGCTTGGAAGTCACTAAGGAGTTATGGCAGGAATGACAAAGAATCTTGGAAAGTATAAAAGGTTACTAGTAGTCCGGCATGGTTCTATGTGCTTGTAATTCCAGCTTTTGGGAGGTACAAACATATGAAGTCCATAGTTAACTCAATTAGTTAACTGAATTGAGTTCTCAACTTTAACATTTGGACTGTGCTTATATTCAATGTTAATATTAAGTAAAACTAAGTGAAAGGTATTAGGGGACTCACTGTACTATTTTTGCATAATTCTGAGGTTATTTCAAAAGTAAAAAGGTCTGGAAGGTAATTTTAAATATTTTTATATTACCAAGGGGGTGTGTACAGTTATGGCTAAGAGTAGGTTTTGGAGTAAAATTCCTTAGAATCTACTTTTGGTTTTGTCCCTTATCAATTATATGACTTTGAGTGAGTTACTGTCTTTTTTGTAGCTCGGTTTCATCATCTGCAAAATGTAAGGAGCTAAGGGAGGCATTGCATGTATTGTACACTTTCAGTACCAAGATAATAAGATTAGAATGTGTGTTTGACATAAAATACCAGCTGCTGTTTAGCCCCCATGTGCTAGAGTTTATGGGAATTTCCTTTGGGGAAAACTTGAGAAGTATTTCTAGATGAACTAAATTCTGTGTCTTAGACTTCTTGATTAAGTGTTAGACTCCCAACTTCTTAGAGGTACCAATTTAAGTCATTGTCAGCTCCTTAATGTCAGTGAAGTGTGTGTGTGTGTGTGTGTGTGTGTGTGTGTGTGTGAGTGTGTAGAAAATTTGCTACTATTGCTATTTTTGTTCAAAGATTACATATCTAATAAATGTTTAGTGGTTATGATTTTCTAGTTATATCTTGATCATTTTATGCCAGGACTTTGGTATATGGGAACGTGGAGACAAGACCAACCAAGGCATCTCAGAATTGAATGCGAGTTCAGTTGGAATGGCCAAGGTACATTTTCTTTCTTATTTTTACCAAGTCTGGCCAATGGAGTCTGGTTTACCTTTGTCACAGATGAAACTTTAGTGTGCATGTGGACCCAACAAATTGTTTTTTAAACCATAGATAGAATTCAAATTCCTCCATGAAACTATGAATATATGATATTAAAAATGTTGTAAGTTCCAGATTTTATATCATATGGCTTTTGTGGAATGTCTCTGTTTGTGTATCCTACAAAGACAACAAAATTAAAACTATATTTGCCATCTTTGCCATCGCATAAACTAAGAGAAGCTCTTTCTCCCCCCTGAAGAGCAGTCCACCAAGCTTGGAATCAGATATACATCTCTGAGTCATCCATCCCCTTTACTCTGCCTTTCCACTTGACTATGTCTTTTCATTCTACTACTAGCTCTTATTTTCTCTAGAAACAATAAGAATATATAAATAGGACAGTAGGAGTAAACTCAAACATTATTATAATAAATGTGCATGGCTCAATCACTCCTACTAAATGTTTAGGAAAGATGCAGATTTTTTAGGAAGTAAATATAGTATATACTTTTTATATCATAATGATACTGAAAGTTTAAAAGTAAGTTATGTAAAGCCTAAAAACAAAAAAGAAATGAAACATAATCCAAAGCAAAAAATGTTATATGGAATAAAGAGAACAAATGGGTCGTGATAAACTTTTTTTTTTGGTTTTTTGAGACAGGGTTCCTCTGTGGCTTTGGAGGCTGTCCTGGAACTAGCTCTTGTAGACCAGGCTGGTCTCGAACTCACAGAGATCCACCTGCCTCTGCCTCCCGAGTGCTGGAATTAAAGGCGTGTGCCACCACTGCCCGGCATGATAGACTTTTGACACAACCTATAATGAGAAAGTGTGGTTTAGAATGTGGTTTCAATTAATAAAAAACAAAATATATTAAAAGACAAACAGATTTTATTTTATATATATATATATAATTACATAAAGAGATATTTAACAGCAAACATTGTGAAACAACAAACCCCAAATAGGAACCTATTTGTTTTAAAAAAATATCCCAATAATGTCATTTATGATAAAATAAAAATCCTTGTGCCACATTATCCAGACCATTTTGTTATAACATCTTTTTTAGCTCACCCAGTCTAGAGCAATACTTTATAGCCTTGACTTTGATGACACTGGCATTTTTGAAAAATAAAGACTAGTTTTTATTTGGTTGATTGGTCTGGTTTGGTCTTAGGGCTGGAGTCTTTTGCTTACATATTCTACCACTAGTGTAGCTGTTCCTCTAATACTTCACTTTTGTTTGTGGTAATATCTCTCTTACCAGGCCTTGAACTCAGTATACTGCTGGAGGTAATCTTGAACTGATCCTCCTGCCTTTGCCTCCCAAGGATTACATAGGGGCAACTGCACTCCATGTCTGCTTCCTTTTTTGCTACCCAACTCTAGACTGGTTATTCTATGTACTCCAGACCAGTACTTTTATTCTTTGTGGTATTTCTTCGTGATTCACATTATGTGTTTTTAGGAAGACCATCAGAAAGGCACTGCTGTATCCATCATCTGTCATCAGGAAATACATGGTATAAATTTGTCACATTACCATTGCTTCTGTCTTTGATCACTTCATTAAAGTACTGCCTGCTAGCTTAATCTATTGTAAATTTGCTTTCCCCCCTTTTTGTTAATGAGTATTTTGTGCTTGTTCAACTTCTACTTGTCCTGTAGGTCTCTGAGTTTAGATGTTAGTTTTCCAGGGAAGCCACCTAGAACTACTTCGTGCTCCCAAGACAACATCAGGTTGGGCTCATAATTGAGGAAATACAGATAATCAGTAAATACTTGAGATAATATCTAACCTTATTGTCAGTTTAAAGCAAGTGAATGCAAAAACATATACCTTTTAAAATCAAAGTAGAAAAATTAATATATTTTGTATTAAGATGAATATTGTCATATACTGCTAGTGATAACTTATATTGGTATAATATACATAAAAAGCAATTTAGCTTTGTATCTCAAAAACTGTCCACACCCTTTGACCTACTGGTTCTACTTCAAGAAATTAATGCTTAAATATTTCAAAATGAAAACAAATAAAATATTTGTTAGCTTAACAGTAAGACTACTATATGCCTTTCTGTGTGCTAGGTATTGTTAGAAACACCATCCATGACCTCAAAACAATTGCAATTTCGCAAGAGATGTTTATCAAAGTGATATTCCTACAATAACAAAATGGAAGATAGCCTAGATTTACAGCAATTTATAAATGGTTAAATATATTTTATTGTAGTCATATGAGAGATTATGTCAAAATAGTGTTTGTATAGCAAGGAAAAACTTATTATATTCTATATTAATTATAAAAAGTAAGATACAGCTAAGAGCAATGGTGCATGCTAATAATCCTGACACTTAGAATGCAGAGGCAGGAGTACCAGAGTTCATGGTCAGCCTGGGCCTCTGAGGTCAGCCTTGGCTACAGGAGACTGTCTCAAAAAATTAAAAAATTTTAAAGCAAAAAATATTTTAAAAGCATGCTACCAGAGGCAAAAAACTAATAGAAAACATCAATAATATTAACAGTGGGAATATAAGATAGCTCCATGAGTAAAAATGCTTGCCATGCAACCTCAGCCACCTGAGTTTGCTACCAGAAGCCATGTAAAGGGAAAGAAAATCCATTCTACAAGTTGTTCTGTCCTTCACACATGCACTGTGGCACACACAAACATAAACACACATACACATCATAAGCACATAAATGCTCATAGATTAAAGGAATTCTTAACAGGTTGATGAGTTGTTGACTTAGCAGGTAGAGGTGCTTGCCACCAAGCCTGATGACCTAAGTTCAAATCCCAGAACCCACATGGTAGAATAAGGAATTGACCCTTATTGGTGTCTTCTGACTTCCATGAGCATGCCCATCCCCAGTGCACAGAAAATACATAAACATTCTTTTAAGAATGAAAGTATGTTCTACTTTTGTGGTCAGAAAACACATGTAGAAAAGCAAGAAATTAATAATTTCTAAAACTTCTCTTGAGACAGGATCTCACAATATAACCCAGGATAGCTTCAAATTTCCAGTCCTCCTGACTCAGATAGGCACATGCCCTCACACTTGGTATTTTTTTAAAGCTTAATTTTACTTATATTTAAACTTAAAAGAAATCAACCTCCCAAAGTGGAATCTAGTGATGGTGACTTGGATAAAGAGAAGGGGAAGAAATGATCAAGGGGTTCAAACGTTTAGGTAGAAATGAGGGATATCTTTGCAGATCTGTTACTCTGTAGGATAACACACATTGTATATTTTTTAACTGAAAACTCCTTTGCACTGCCAACTAATAACATTTGTTTAAAAGTTGAATATAGTGTACAACATTTGACTCTATGGGAACTCAGCTATGAGTGAGTGCCTAATAGTTCCTGAATTATCTTGCAGCCACATGATTTTTTTTTTGGTTTTACGAGACAGGGTTTCTCTGTATTGTTTTGGAGGCTGTCGGTCCAGCCCGGCCTCGAACTCACAGAGATCCGCCTGCCTCTGCCTCCCGAGTGCTGGGATTAAAGGCGTGCGCCACCACCGCCCGGCTAGCCACATGATTTTTAACATGTACTCATTTCTTTTTTTCCTACTTTCTTTATTTTCTAAGGCAGAGTCTGACGGTGTCCATGTTTAGCTTTTTGGGGTTTGGGTTTTTTTGTTTGTTTGTTTGTTTGTTTGTTTTTCGAGACAGGGTTTCTCTGTGTGTATTGGCTGTCCTGGAACTCATTCTATAAACCAGGCTGGCCTAGAACTCAGAGATCTGCCTGCCTCTGCCTCCCAGGTGATGGGATTAAAGGCATGTGCTCTTTAGCATTTCCTATGTGCTAGTTGGAGCTTCCCTGCTGAAAGAATGATTTCCTAAAATTGATAAGCCATGTCAAAATTGATCTTTTAAAGCATGCTGCTTGACTGGATAGTGATATAAACTCAATTTTAATTTTCCCTTGGACAGTATGGGAAGCAGTAAAAATCATAAGCTCCTAGGAATAAAGGATGTTATTTTATTTTCTGCTCCATTAATTATATTCAAAAGCAACATCGTGTAACATTGATAAGATACTAGGAAGAATAGAATATATATAATTCTTGATTTTCTTTTCTTTTTTTTCAGTTCTAGGGATTGAACCCTGGGCCTTGCACATACTAAACATGCGCTCTGCCACTGAAGTTGTCCTTTCTTACATTGTTTCTTACAGGCAGCCCTGGAAGCACTAGATGAATTAGACTTGTTTGGTGTGAAAGGTGGGCCACAATCAGTCATTCATGTCCTGGCTGATGAAGTACAACACTGCCAGGTAAGGAAATAATAGACCATGTTATAGTAAATTTTATTCTTGCCCAGAGTTAGACTCTGCACAGGCCTAAGCTTAAAGAGAGCGGACCATCATGTGATTATTACTACACAGAAATGTCTTTATCAAGCATTTGATACTAAGATAAACCTGCTAGCATGAGCTATAAGACAGATCATGCTTGCCTTAGTCAATGTGCTATTGCTGTGAAGAAACACCATGACTACAGCAACTCTTATATAAAAAAAGCATTTAATCGGGGCTGGCTTACAGTTTCAGAAGTTAAGTCCATTATCAACATGGTGGGAAGCATGGCAGCATACAGGCAGACATGATGCTGGAAAAGGAGCTGAGAGTTCTACATATGGATCTGCAGGCAAGAGGGAGAGAGATATACAGGGACTGGCTTAGCCTTCTGAAACTCCAAAACCTACCCCTAGTGACACTTTCTCCAAAGGGTCACACCTCTTATCTTTTTGAGTATTACAACTCCCTGCTGACCAAGAATTCAAATATATGAGCCTATGTGAGCATTCCTAGTCAAACCACCACATTCCACTCCCTGGTCCCCATAGGCTTATAGCCATAAGGTAATGCAAAATTGCTTTCAGCCCAACTTCAAAAATCTCAACAATCTATAATAGTCACAACACTGTTTGAAAGTCCAAAGTCCAAAATCCCTTCTGAGACTCATGGCAATCTCTTAATTGTAAAAATCAAAAAGCAGATCACATGCTTCCAACATACAATGGCACAGAAAATACATTACCATTCCAAAATGGAGGGAAGGGAGCATAGTGAGGAAATAATGGACCAAAGCAAAACCAAAAACCAGCTGGGCATGCTCCAAACTCTGCAACTCAATGTCTAGTGTCAAAATGATCTTTGGATCACCAGATACTTTCAGCTTTGTTGACTGCAACATACTTCTCTCTCTTGGGCTGGTTCCACTCCATGTTAGCAATGCTCAGAAGGTATTCCATAACTCTAGCATCTCCAACATCTTGGGTTCTCCAAGGCAATCAAGGCTTTGCCTTCACAGCTTTATTCAGTGGCCTTTCTGGGCCTCCACTCAGGGACACCCCTGACATGTGTCTGGCCTCAGTGGCTTTTCTTAGCTGTGGAGAATGATTCCACAACCCCTTTCTTGTATCTTTGACTCCTAAGTCAAAACCATGTAGCTGAAACTGCCAATTTCTTCTGCTTGCTGGGGCTAGAACATCTCATTCAGTTACATCTGCATCAACTTTCTGTTTTCTGTGTTTTCCTTCACTGCTTAAATTTTTCTTTAATTCCCTTTTACGACCTGGAAGCTTAGCTTGGTAAGATCTTGTCCTGAGGTCACCACTCTCTTTATTCTATTTAGTATCAGGCTTTATCTTCATCTTAAAAATATTTTATTTATTTATTGTTTGTTTTTTAAAATGTATACGGTATTCTGCTGGCATGTACAGCTGCAGGCTAGAAGAGGGCACCAGATCTCATTATGGATGGTTGTGAGCCACCGTGTGTTTGCTGAGAATTGAACTCAGAACCTCTGGAAGAGCAGCCAGTGCTCTTAACCACTGATCCATTTCTCCAGTCTCCCTTTTTAGGTTTTTATCTTCCTTAGCACTGGACTTAGCACCATCACACTTCCTTGTGCCCCCTTTTACCCCAAACTGTATATTTTGTATTTTTCCTTGCTTAGCTTCCTCCTTTTCATTATAGATCTGCATAAGACAGACCACTAATAACCATGCAAAAGAGTCTACACTAAGTTGTTTGGAAATCTCCTCTGCCAACACCATTAATCCGAAAATTCTTAAATTTAGACTCAGGCAGACTTTTGGACAAGGACAGAAAACAGCCACATTCTTCACCAAAATATCATAAGAACAGTCTATAGGTACTTGATAATATTCCTCTTCTCTGAAACAACCTTGAGCCAGGCCCTCATAATCATAACCTACATTTCTCTCAGCACCACTGTCTTCTGTGTTCCTACTAGTATGGTCCATTAGGCCCGTCTTAAAGTATTCAACTTCTTTCCTAATCCAAAGTCCCAAAGTCCACATTCCACATTCAAGCAGCACAGTTAAGCCTGTCACAGAAATACCCTGCTCCCTGGTACCAATTTCTGACTTAATTGGTGTCCTATTGCTATGAAAATACAGCATGACCACAGCAACTCTTGTAAAAGAAAGCATTTAATTGGGGCTTGCTTACAGTTTCAGAGGTTGAGTTCAAACTGATATTAGCATGGTGGGAAACAGGGGGACACACGGGCAGACCCAGTGCTGGAGAGGAGCTGAGTGTTCCACATCTGGATCTTAATGCAGCAGGAAGAAAAAGACACTGGGGCTGGCTTAAGCATCTGAAACTTCAAACCCCCACTAATGGTCCTCTTGTCTCAGTTAAAATTATAAAATGAACCATATAGCATATCCAGTTATCCACTGCTATTATATCAAGTGTCCGTCGTTTCTTTTTCCAAGAATCACTTTTTGTAAACATAAAAGGAGAGAAGATATGATCTGTTTTAAGTGTTCTGGATAGTGGTTCTGAAACATTCTGTTGTCCCCATTTGTCTTCTGATTAGATATTTGGACTAAGGTAAAAGTCTGAGGTAAAAGTGCATCCTTAGTTTTCTTTATGATTGCAGCCTGCATTGAAAGTTTCTTTTCTCTAGTATGTGAAATTTCTCCTTTTCTCCAAACTTGATTATACGCTATGGTATCCTAATGAATATAAATTCAACTTCTAATTTTGGAAACATTTTCTGTGGATAAAATATGTCATGGAAGAAGAATAGCAGGAATAATGTGGGGGCACAGAAAACTATGGGGTGAGAAAATGAGCAAAATGCAATGATATACATGTCTGAAAATATAAAGAAGCCCATTATTTTACACACTTGCTGAAAATTAATTTGAGAATATCTTAGAGGCATAGTTGATACTTCTCTACACTTCCCAGAAGCTACACATTGTCTTAATTTTATTATTTTTTATTATTTTGTATGTATCGGGTTTTGTCTGAGTATATATGTCTGTACCATATTCATGCCTGGTGCCCATGGGGTCCAAAAAAGGGTGTTGGAGTTATGGATGGTTGTGAACTGCCCAGTCCTCTGGAAGAACAGCCAGTGCTCTTAATCACTGATTCATCTTTTTAGAGTCAGCTTTATTCTTATGTAGGTGCTAAGGAACCAGCAGGATTGTGGATATCCCACAGATGTTCCAGTCTTTATCTGTGAGCAGCTGCTTTCCAATCAGAATGGGAAGCACCAAGAGCAGGATTAAGAAAAGGGATTCCGCCGGGCATTGGTGGCGCACGCCTTTAATCCCAGCACTCGGGAGGCATATGCAGGTAGATCTCTGTGAGTTTGAGGCTAGCCTGGTCTACAGAGCAAGTACCAGAACAGCCTCCAAAACAATACAGAGAAACCCTATCTCGAAAAACCAAAAAAAAAAAAAGAAAGAAAGAAAGAAAAGAAAAGAAAAACAAAAGGGATTCCATACCAAACAAGCCACTTTTTTAGGTTCTCACTATTTAATAAAATTTGGGTTATTCTTCAGAATAATATATTCTTCAGGAAGCTTTTGTTCCACATATATCTTTTTGAACCAAAGCTCTTAGTTTCACCTCTTAACCAAGGTATTAAATAATAAACCATATTTTGCTACCTTTCCTTAGTCAATCCTGAATTCACTACTGCCCCGCGCTTCAACATCCAAAGAAGTTGATGCCAGTCTGCTCTCAGTGATCTCTTTCCCAGCCTTTGCTGTGGAGGACAGCCGTTTGGTGGAGCTCACCAAACAGGAGATCATCACCAAGCTTCAGGTATGTCCATATGTGCCTCTTCTCTTTAGGGCTAGGATTTTAAAGGAAGATTAGTGCTTTTAGAACCTTTGAGTATAACATATGTCAGAAATTTCAAGGAACCGTCCCTATTCCCAAGTAAGTATTCTTGTAAGTAGTTTTTCTACAAAACTTTCAAACGCAGTCATTACTGTTGGGAATGATACATCCACTTTGGAAATGGAATACACTTTTTTTCTTTTTTGGTTTTTTGAGACAGGGTTTCTCTGTGTAGCTTTGTAGACCAGGCTGGCCTTGAACTCACAGAGATCCGCCTGCCTCTGCCTTCCAAGTGCTAGGATTAAAGGTGTGCGCCACCACGGCCCAGCTTCAGAAGGCATACTCTCATGAATTCAAACATATATGTAACATATGATATGACAAACATCCTTACTCCTCAGTTATCTACCCTAAAAAATGATAGTTTACACTCACACAAAAAACTTACAAATGTCTATAGCAACTTCAGCCATAATTGCAAAAGTCTGGCAACAGCCTTTAACTGAGAAACAAATAAATGAATTTTATTATATCTCTGTTGGATAAGCTAATAATCTCTAAAATAGTATAAATGATTTTTTCTTTGTCTTCATTCTTGTCTTCTAGTATACAACCTGACCATAGCCTTCCATCTCTACCTCTTCTACCTCCTCTCTTCCCCAGACACACTGCCCCTCTGTTTCCCTTCACAAAAGAGCAGGCCCCACAGTGATAACAAGAGAACATGGAATAACAAGATGCAATAAGAGTAAGCATAAACCCTCATATCAAGGCTAGACGAGGCAATCCAGCAGGAGAAAAGGGTCTGGTCCTTAAGGGTATTTTGCTAAAAGGGAAGAACAGATCACAGAAGCTATGCATACTGTATGATTCCATTAATGTGATACTCTGAGAAAGGGAAAACCAAAGGGAGGAAAACAATTGTTAAGTGAAAGAAATTGAAGGGAGAAATTGTCTATAAAGATATAGTTTTGGAAAATTTTGAGAATGATTGGACACTAACTATGGCAACAGTGACTATGTTTGCCCAATCTCATGAAATTGTATATCACAAAAACTAAGTTTAAAGTATCAACCATGATGTAGTTTTTTTAAGTGAAATTCAGACTAGAAAGTGACTCTTAAATGCATTATACTTGAATAACCACATTGAAGAGGGTAAAGACGAAATAACCTAAACCTTGTAAAACTGTTCTGACTGGATACTGTAAACCCAAGATAAAACTAACCATATATAAACACTGTGCCCTAGTTCATGGGTCAGAAAACTACATCCTGTGGACTGGCAAGTTATCCTTGTAAATAAATTTTTATTCATCCAGCCATGTTTCTATACCATCTACTGCTCCTTTCAAATAGCTGGTCAGTAGTTTTGAGGCTACACAGCCAGAAAAACCAGAAGTATTCATTCTCTGTCCCTGTAGTATGAAGTTGGCAAACTCCTGCTCTAGTTGATAAAATTGTTTCTCAAAGGGGTTGAGCAAAAAATACGCCCTGAAGAACACAAATGTTCTGCATCCTGCAGCATCAAATGTTCAGATAAGATTTCATTGTTTATATAAGAAACAGGCACATCCATTTGAGCAGTATGTAGTTTTGCCATGTTTAATAAGTAGTTAAATATATAATAAAATTCATTATAACTCTTTTTTTGGTTTTTAATAGACAGGGTTTCTCTGTATTGTTTTGGAGGCTGTCGGTCCAGCCCAGCCTCGAACTCACAGAGATCTGCCTGCCTCTGCCTCCCAAGTGCTGGGATTAAAGGCATGCGCCACCACCGCCCGGCCATTATAACTTTTTATCATTAAACATTAAACAAAAAAGTATAGTTAATGTCATGAGGTCACAGAAACCAACAGATACAATCTGAGGACAAGATAGTCCCTTTGGTCTGAGCACACAAGCACACACAGACACAGGAAAGGATTCCTAATGCACAGAGTAAGAACTATTTGAACACAAAAAGTAATTATCATACCATTGTGTTATAACTCAAAGAAAAGATGAAGTTATATATGAGTCTATACAGATAACAATAAATATAGATACAAGAAGGAAAGTCATAGTGAAGAAGTTTAGGAGATAAGATATTGCCTTAAGCAAATTATCAAATTTAATATCACCAAACAGTGCACTGAGAAGGACACATCACCATTGTGATGCTCTTCTAATAATATATACCTTCAGTCTCATGTAAAAGCTAGACAAAATAAGTTGATAGACAATTTAACAACTAACTGATGAACACTACCAAAAGTGTGAAGTTGGGTAAAGCAGGAAAGAATGTGGAATTGTCATAGATTGGAGATAATGAGGGAGATATGGCAACTAAATATAATGTGGAATTCTTTTATTTGAGTGTGTGTGTGTGTGCGCGCGCGTGCACATGCATGCATGCATGCTCATGTATGTTGTGTACTGCAGAGGCAAGAAGTTAATGCCAGTGTCTTCCCCAATAGCTTAATTTTTGAGCTGGATAGTCTCTCACTGAACCTGGAGCTCACTGATACAGCTAGACTGGTCAACAAGCCCCAAGAATCCTCCTATTCCTGTCTTTCCAGAACTAGGATTACAGGAACTGCCACCACACCTAGCTTTTTACCTAGCTGGGGATCTGAACTTGGATCCTTGTGCTTATACAGGAAACACTTTACCCACCGAGCCATCACCTGAGCCCTGTAGGGTGGGATTTTGAACTGGATCCTGGAATAGAATAAAAAAGGGCAGTGATGGAAAATCCAGTGAAATCTAAATTTTTTTTGGTTTTTCGAGACAGGGTTTCTCTGTGTTGTTTTGGAGGCTGTCCTGGAACTCGCTCTGTAGACCAGACTGGCCTCGAACTCACAGAGATCCGCCTGCCTCTGTCTCCCAAGTGCTGGGATTAAAGGCATGTGCTACCAACTCCTGGCTCTAGATAGGTTTTATAATGCAATTAACATTAGTATATCAGAGTTAATTTTTTAGTTCTGATGTATGTTCTGTAATTACTTAAGTTAATATAGGGAGATGAGATTTGATGGGCATAGTGAGACTATGTAGTGTTTGTAACGTTTGTAAATCTAAAATAATCTCATAATTTTTAAGAATAAACTATGGCCTCTTAGGAGCCATGCGTCCTGTGAAAAGGACTGCGCAGATTAGTAAATAGCTTGTTGCAGGCTTGGCCTTAGGTGGACAGTCATGGAGAGGATACTGCTAGGCATGCTGCTTTGGGGAAGGACCTATAACATACTTCTTGCTTGAAAGGACATTGCTGCTGCTGCTGCTGAGCTGGTTTTGAGTACTGTGTCTGTGATGGTGAGACATTGATACATGGAGATGTTTGAGGATGTATTTCTGCTTATTTATAGAGTTGTGCAGATGTACAAGCTTCAAGGCCTTTTTCTCTGTGTCCCCAGGGTCGTTATGGTTGTTGTCGTTTTCTACGAGATGGATATAAAACTCCTAAAGAGGTAGGTTTCTTTTCACCACAGGCAAGTAGAATTGTCCCTGTTCTTTGTAGCCTCATTCAGAGATAACAGTTACCTCACTGGTAGAGTTTTTGCAGATCATTAAAAAGAATAATAAATGATGTTTGTTGTATTTGTTGGGCTTTCTGCCAAGTTCTGGCATTGGTGGTAAATAAATAAACAATAAATGCCAAAAAAGTAAATATAATAAAGGAAAGGCAACCTTTTCTTTCAGTTGGTTAGTTTAGGGAAAGAACTACTGATGGTTGGTAAAAATCTGTGGACAGAAGTTTTAAATACAAACAGTATGTGCATAGTCTCCAAATGCCCACTTCCCACATTTAATCAATACAAAAGGAAAGGCACTTTCCATCAGTACATCTTTTTGACTGCCTGTCATGGTCCATTTTCTGTTTTCAGTGACACAGTACCACAGACTGAGTTGTAAAATGGGTGCACTTGGGCTCACAGTTCTGTAGGTACAAAATCAAGAGGTCCACATCTGGTGATGGCCTTCTTGATGACAGAGTTCCAAGGTGTAGTATAAGATACCTCATGAGAAATGACAGGGAGCACTAGTGTGCCTCCATCTCTTCTGGTGTCTTTCCTTTTGATAAAGCCAGAGATCCAATTTCTACCCTAATGACCTTATTAAATTCTGATCTGCCTGCTGGCTCTACCTCTAAGTACTATAGTTGATTTATATTCCTACCCTCTAATACCTCATAATATGGATGAAATTTCAACACATCAAGCCTTGAGGACACCAAACGTAAACTGTAGCAGCCCCTTCCAAGATTTATAGCTTGTATTTGGTTAGTTATAAATAGAACTTGTTCTTGAAAATATAAGTTCCTTTGGTTCTACTAGTCAAAAGTTCTCCTTGAGTGGCTTGGGTGAGCTTTTCAAGAACTATTATGAGTGCTTGCCTACCATGCTCAAGTCCCTGAGTTCCAGTCCCAGCACCATAGAAGAGAGGCACTATGCTCTTTTGAAATTAAGTGTAAAATCTGTGTTCTGCTTCCTCACTCCTACTTTCTTCTTCAGCCTGGAATTTGGCTTTTACCCTTTTCTTGTTTTTTTCCCTGTTTTTATTTCCATAGCACTACACTCTGAAACATGATAAGATTATAAAAGCACAGTCTACACTCTTTTCCTAATTCTTACTCCCCTTGACTTCTCTATAGCATTTCATTGACTTACTCCTTTTTTTCTTGAATTTTCCCCTATTTTGATTTCCACAGTACTACACACTCATGATTCCTGTCTGTCTTTAGCTCACTTCATTCTGAAGACTTACCAGGATTCCATTGTTGTGCAAGTCACTTTCCTGCAGAGCCCATCTGTAACTAGTGTTAACTCTCTCAGGTTGATTGCAAACCAATTCTACACTGATGGTTAATATTGTCAACTTGACAGGATTAAGGAAACAAGCCTCTGGGTATGCTGGTGAGGGCATTATTTGGTTAATTGAAGTAAGCAGATCTACCCTAAAAGTGGGTGGCAGTGTTTCCTGGGTTTGGGGCCTTGGCTGCGTGGAAAGGAAAAGCTAGCTGCATCCCAGCATTTAATGCTCCCTTCCTGACTGTAGAAGCATTAAGCCTTTGCCACCTTGTGTGTCCTTCCATGATGATTTGTACCTTTGAACTGTGAGCCAAAGTAAACTCTTGCTTCACTTAAGTTGATTTTGTCAGATTAGTTTATCATGGCAACAGGAAAACTAACACACATTTTCATGTATCTCTGGTGATTCCTTATTGTTCCAAGACTAGTCATTGGAAGTTTCTTCATAGCGCACTTGCTAAGAGAGGGGAGTATGAATATGTGCTTACTGCCTTCCCTGATGCCATCTTTGAAACAAATGATCTGTAATAAAGCTCCTATTGTAATACCTCTAAACTAACAATATACGTCCAATCTCCGAGTGACAGAACAGACTTCCTTATATTTTTGTCTAGGATCCCAATCGTCTGTACTATGAACCAGCTGAGCTGAAGCTATTTGAAAACATTGAATGTGAATGGCCATTGTTCTGGACATACTTTATTCTTGATGGGGTCTTCAGTGGAAACACAGAACAGGTAAAGAGCTGGGAGAAGAACCCTCAGCAAACTGCTCTTGTTATATCTTCCTCTCTCAGTTAGTGGCTGTATCCATGTTGACTGCCCAAATGGGAGTCTTCCTACTAGGGAAGAGACAGAGTTGCCTCCTAGGGACTCATAACTGTGGCACACACCTTTAATTCCAGTACTTAGGAAGCAGAGGCAAGTGGCTCTCTGTGAGTTCGAGGCCAACCTGGTCTACATAGAGAGTTCAAGGACAGCCAGGACTATACAGAGAAACCGTTTCAACACTCCCAAGTCCCAAAATGGAATTTGGAAACTCACTGGGCAATGGGGTATTTTCTTTAATCCTAGTACTCAGAGGCAGAGGCAGGTGGCCGGCTGTGAGTTCGAGGCCAGCTTGGTCTACAAAGTGAGTTCCAGGACAGCCAAGTCTACACAGAGAAACCCTGTTTCAAAAAACCAAAACAAATGTTGTCATTTACTTCCTTAGTTTTAGTGTCTCTATAGATGAGATTTTTTTCATTGAAGAAGATAATCAAGTAAGGATGTTAAAATATTAATTACCTCAACTTCATCATTACATACTTTATACATGAGTTGAAGTATTACACTGTACCCCACAAGTGTATATACTAAAAGGAATTTTTATTGTAGTGGCACATGCTTGTAATCCCAGAACACAGAGGCTAGGGCAGGCAGATCATGAGTTTGAGTTCAGTCTAGGTTGCATAGCAAGATCATCTCAATGCTTTTTTAAAAAAGGCATCTTTAGGTGATAGAGAGGTGGTTCCGTGGTACCAGCACTTGTTGCTCATCCATAGGATGTGGGCTCAATCCCCAGCAGCTCACAAACATCTGTAACTCCAGTTCCAGGGGATCTAAAGCTGCCTTCTAACTTCTTGTTAACATACGTATATGCAAGTGAAATACTCATAAAATAGAAAAATAAATCTTTAAAAAGTTATCACCAAATTTCTCTGAGAGTTCACAAGAAAGATATGCTGCAAATTCAAAATTCAGTCAGTTCTACTATAATGAGACAGCATCACTTAAAAAATTCATCATGCAATGCATATTCAAGAAATTTAAAAACTACAAAATGGGGTGAGGAGCACAGTACTAAAAATGTTTATATAGTGCTGCGCACCTTTAATCACAGAACTGGGGAGAAAGGCAGGATGATTTCTGTGTGTTTGAGGCCAGCCTACTCTACATAGTGAGTCTTAGGTCAGCCAAGACTAATAGTAATACCCTGTCTCGATAATAAGTAAATGTATGTCTGTACATAACAAAATGATAGGAATCTAGTGAAAAAGCCAGTGGTACAGTTTCCTACATGTTAAATGGTCAAATACATATATACTACAGTAGGTCTAACAGATAAACCATGAAAAAGGCCTGGATTTTGCTTGTAGAAGTGTTTGACAGTCTTCTGCCAGTTCACCTGGCTGGTACCTCTGCCCAATAGCTTGTATGTAAGAGGAAGAGAGCAAAAGGGAAATAAAATAAATGATAGAAATAAGAGGGAAAATTACAAAATAGAGAGGAAACATTAGAATGGGCTGTGAGGAATGGGAGCAGTTAAAGAGAGAGGAAGGCATGCAGTTTGCAACCAGGGCAGCTGTCAGGGGCTTATAAGTTATGATGTACTTAAAGAAAGTTCATGTACAGTGGGATGGACACTACAACAACACATGTGAACTGCTGTGGCCTCGTTAGGTGTGTACATGTCTGTGTAGTTTTAGACAGCTTAGCTTAACACGGTTATGTTCTCAGGAAGAAATTGCACATAAGCAAACATGAAATTCATGTTATATTCTATAAAGGGCAAAAAGGTTCTTGTGAACACAGATAAGCACTGGAGAAGCCAGGAAAGTTAAACACCCAGCTAAGTTCTCCAAAGTGGAGACATATTTGGCTGTTCTCCCAGAATGCTGGGGTGGAGGAAAATATAGTTTACAACCTAGTAATCATTTGCTATTTGTTGGGCATGGCTCGGCCCATATCACCCAGAATGGTATGTTTGTTTATCCCACACCCTTTCCCCTAACACCGTGAGCATTTATTTCTTCTAAGCCATAAAACTCATCCTTGTGAAAGATGTCATTTGTACTTTACAACAGCCTAAATGACTTCTATGCTTTCTTAGGGCCGGACATTATATTTACCTCAGTCATTCTCCTTAAACCCTTGAGCATTGTTTCTAAGTCAACAGGAACCTGTCTTACAGATGAAGCTGTCAGTACTTTGTAAAAAGCTTCAATGTAGACACATCTTAAGCTTTGTTGTGTCTGAATACTTTTTCCCAAAATTGTGCTGTGCTTAACTATGGCTAAAGTTAAATGATCTGGGCCAGATTTAGAAGCCCTCTTCTGACTTCTGCAGGCACAATGCTTGCACACACACACACACACACACACACACACACACACTAAAATAAAACTTAAAAATAAAATCTAAGTCAAGGGCTAGAGAGATGGCTCAGTGATTCAGAGAATAGAATGCTTTTCAGGAAGACCCAAGTTTGATTCTCTACACACTTGCCATGTGGCTCACAACCACTTATAAGAGTTACAACTCCAGCTTAGGGGATCTTACATGTCTGCCTTCCCAGGGAACCAGCACATACAATCATGTACCCACACACAGACACATATGCATACATATAATCTTTAAAATAAAACATTTTTGTTGGTCATAGTGGCACACGCCTTTAATCCCAACACTTGGGAGGTAGAAGCAGGCTGATATCTGTGAATTTAAGACCAGCCTGGTTAATATAGTGAGTTCTGGGACCCTACATAGTGAGAACCTGTTTTGAAAAAACAATCAAAACTCACTTTAAGATATTTTAATTGAAATAAAATTACATCATTTTCCCCTTCTTTTCCTCCCTCCAGACCCTCCCAGCTTCCTTCTCTCAAATCTCACTTCAGACACACTCTTAAATTAATAGCCTCTTAAAATGTAAAAAAGGAAGGAAGGGCCAGGTCAAGAAGGTATACTTAAGGTAACATGTATCACTTAGGCCCTTGGAGGCAGACTGAGTTAGACTAAACTACACTAAACCAGGTGTGTGCTCAGTAAATTACAAGTTTAGAACCTCTTTGAACCTAATCCCAATGATAAAGGACTTCAATTATATATACCTACTAGGATGAAAACTAAAATGCATTAAAGTATACAAAAAAGTTGTGTGATGTTTGACCTATAACAACCATTTAATAAGTGCCTGCCTTAGAGTTTTTACTGCTGTGACAAAATTCCATCACCAGAAGGCAACTTGGGGAATAAAGGGCTTATTTAACTTACATATCCTAAATCACAGTCCATTGAGGGAAGCCAAGGCAAGAACTCAAACAGGACAGGACCCTGGAGGCAGGAGATGATGCAGAGGCCATGGAGGGGTGCTGCTTATTGGCTTGTTCCTCATGTTTGGCTAGGCCTGCTTTCTTTTTTCTTTTTTTTATTTATTTAAATTAAAAACAAGCTTAGGCCTGGTTTCTTATACAACCCAGAACTACCATCCCATGGTTGGCTCTTTCCACAGTGGGCTGGTCTTTTCCCTATTAATCACTAATTAAGAAAAGGCTTTCCAGGCTGCCTACAGTCGGTGCTTATGGAACCATATTCTCGATTAAGGCTTCCTCCTCTCAGATGATTCTAGTCTGTGTCAAGTTGACACAGTATCATTCCCCCTTTCCTCTCCCCTTTACTTTGTTAAGAAATCTCCTTTGTAGTGGTGCTTGCTTTGGCTGTGTCCTTCTGCTATGTTCCCCCAGAATGTCTCTAAATTTTTGGTTTCCAACTTCCCTTTGTTCTGCAGGTTCAAGAATATAGAGAGGCTCTTGATGCAGTCCTCATCAAGGGCAAAAATGGAGTTCCACTTCTTCCAGAGCTATACAGTGTTCCTCCTGACAGGGTGAGTTGGATAGTGCTGGACCATTGATAGGAGAGGAAACATATTTCTGTGATACTGAGTCGATAGTTATTTGAGTCAGATAGTTTTGTGACTTTCCATCTTGTGACATTAATATTCTAAAAGTTTGGTTTTCAGATCATGACAACAGAAATGTGATTTTATTCCTTTAGAAATTAAAGCAGTCAAAATTGTGGTAGTATTACAAAATGTGATATGAATGAAAGCAAATACAATTCTAAGAATTATGTACATATCAGTAGGTGTAACCAGAATGATGTCCTGCGCCAGCTCTCAGGACTTGGTATCCTCTGAAGCCAGAAACCTGGGATTGCTGGAGTAGATCAGACTTGGAAAAATGAAACAGGTGTTGTCTTTGCTTACAGTTGTGAAGGAGAATTAGACATGGCAGAAATACAGTTTTACCTTCTGTTGGGGATTTGGAAAATAAGTTCCTAGTGGCATCAGCAGTGTCACCTGAGAATTAATTATGAATAGGTTTTTATCCATCCCAGCACACCTATTCAGTCTGCATTTTCATAAGATCCTTGGGTGATTTGGTCACACACTACAGATTGAGCACTGCCCTACTTAGCTTTTCAAATCATTGCCTATAAAGTATGAATCATAATATAGTGTCTTTTATCATCTAGTATCTTAAGCTTTCTATTATTGCCTCTCATTTAACTTCTTTATCTCTTCATTTAGGTTGATGAAGAGTATCAAAATCCTCACACTGTGGATCGAGTTCCTATGGGAAAATTGCCTCACATGTGGGGTCAGTCTCTATACATTTTAGGAAGCTTGATGGCAGAGGTAAGGGAATACTTGGAAGCTATCCCACCTTTTTAAAGCTTTTTTTATTACTTTAATATTAAATAGCTTGCTTCACATGTCAATCCCAGTTCCCTCTCCCTCCCCTCCTCGCGCACCCCTCGACCATCCCCTCCAGCCTCCCACCCTATCCCCACTTCCTTCCCCATAGGGGATATATAGAGTCTGTCATTTCACTCAGGGCAGGGTCCAGGCACACCCCTAAGAGTCCAGGCTGAGAGAGCATCCCTCTTTGTGTTATGGACACACGAAGTCCGTTTGTATGCTAGGTTGCCCAGGCTTCCTCACTGACTCTCACACTCAGGGAGTCTGGATCAGTCCCATACTGGCCTCCCAGCTGTCGGTCTGGGGTCCAAGAGCTCCCCCATGTTCAGATCAGCTGTCTCTGCTGGCATTGCCAGCCCATTCTTTGCCAATTTGCTCATCACTCCTCTTTCTCTGTCACTGGGTTCCATGGGTTCAGTTCAGTGTTTAGCTGTGGGTGTTTGCCTCTGCTTCCATCAGTCACTGGAGGAAGGTTCTAGGATGGCATATAGTGTAGACATCAAGTTCATTATCAGCAATGGGCATTTAAGGTGGTCTCTCCACTATTGCTTAGTTTGCCAGTTGGTGTCATCCCTTTAGATCACTAGAGGTCTCACTGGTGCCAGATCTGTCTTCTAACCTATGACTCCCTCTTTTATGGTATTTCTCATCCTGTTCTCCCCCATCCTACCCCCTACTCAAACTTCCTGTTCCCCCATGACCTACTGTCTCTTTGTCTTCTCCCCCTTTCTTCTTCCCAGCACCCACTCTGCCCACCTCTTGCTGTGTTCCCAGTCTGTTCAGGAGATCTTGCCTTATTCCTCTTCTCTGGGGCACCATGCATATCTCTCTTAGGTTCTTTCCTGTTTCCCAGACTCTCTGTCAGTGGAAGTGCAGACTGGCACTACCCTGATCCATGTCTAAAATCCATATACGAGTCAGTACATACCATGTTTGTCTTTTTGTGACTGGGTTACCTCACTCAGGATGGTTTCTTCTAGTGCCATCCATTTACCTGCGAATTTCAAGATTCCATTGTTTTTTTCTGCTGAGTAGTACTCCATTGTGTAAATGTACCACATTTTCTCTATCCACTCTTCAGTTAAGGGGCATCTAGGTTGCTTCCAGGTTCTGGCTATTACAAATAATGCTGCTTTGAATACAGTGAAACAGATGTCCTTGTATGAATTTACATCTTTTGGGTATATGCCTAAGAGTGGAATTGCTGGGTCTTGTGGTAGATTGATTCCCATTTTCCTGAGGAGTCTCCATACTGATTTCCATATTGGCTGTACAAGTTGGCACTCCCACCAGCAGTGGAGGAGTGTTCCCCTCTCTCCACATCCTCTCCAGCATAAATTGTCTTTGGCGTTTTTGATTTTAGCCATTCTGAAAGGAGTAAGATGGTATCGCAGAGTTGTTTTGATTTGCATTTCTCTGATGGCTAAGAATGTTGAGCACTTTCTCAAGTGTCTCTCAGCCATTTTAGACTCCCCTATAGAATTCTCCATTTAGTTCTGTACCCCACTTTTTAATTGGATCCTTTGGTGTTTTGGAGACTTGCTTCTTGAGTTCTTTGTAAATTTTGGAGATCAGTCCTCTGTCAGATGTGGGGTTTGTGAATATCTTTTCCCATTCTGTGGACTGCCTTTTTGTCTTGTTGACTGTGTCCTTTGCCTTAAAGAAGCTTCTTAGTTTCAGTAGGTCTCATTTGTTAGTTGCCGATCTCAGTGTCTGTGCTACTGGTGTTATGTTCAGGAAGCTGTCTCCTGTACCAATTAGTTGAAGAGTATCTCCCACTTTTTCTTCTAAGAGTTTCAGTGTGGTTGGATTTATGTTGAGGTCTTTGATCCATTTGGACTTAAATTTTGTGCAAGGCGATAGACATGGATCTATCTGCAGTTTTCTGCATGCCAATATCCAGTTATGCCAGTACCATTTGTTGAAGATGCTTTCTTTTTTCCATTTTTGTCAAAAATCAAGTGTTCATAGGTGTGTGGGTTAAAATCGGGGTTTTCAATTCGGTTCCATTAGTGTACCTGTCTATTTTTGTCCAATACCAAGCTGTTTTCAGGACTATAGCTCTGTAATAGAGCTTGGAGTCAGGTATGGTGATGCCTCCTGAACTTCCTTTATTGTATAAGGTTGTTTTGGCTGTCCTGGGTCTTTTGTTTTTCCATACAAAGTTGATTATTGTTCTTTCAAGGTCTGTGAAGAATTGAGCCAGAATTTTGATATGGATTGCATTGAATCTGTAGACTGCTTTTGGCAAGATTGCCATTTTTATTATGTTGAAACTACAAATCCAAGAGCATGGGATATCTTTCCATTTTCTGGTATCCTTTTTGATTTCTTTCTTTAGAGACTCAAAGTTCTTGATATACAGGTCTTTCACTTCTTTGGTTAATGTTATCCCCAGATATTTGATGCTGTTTATGGCTATTGTAAAGGGTGATGTTTCTCTGATTTCTTTCTCAGCCACTTTATCATCTGTATATAATTGAACCTCTGATTTTTTTTTGAGTTAACCTTGTATCTTTCCACTTTGAAGAAGGTGTTTATCAGCTCTAGGAGTTCCCTTGTGGAGTTTTTCGGGTCACTTATGTAAACTATCACATCATCTGCAAATAGTGAAAGCTTGACCTATTGCTCTAGCAAGAACTTCAAGTACAATATTGAAGAGCTATGGAGAGAGTGGACAGCCTTGTCTTGTTCCTGATTTTAGAGGAATTGCGTTGAGTTTTGCCTTGCCGGCTGTGCCACCTATATCTGAGAATGTGCGGAGGGTGTCGGGATTGATGACACAGAGACCCGTTGGTGGTGCAAAGAAAGCTCTAAGCAGGCCCCAAGAAGGCTCAAGAAAGCTTCCCAAGGAAAGGCTTCCCTCAAGAAAAAGCTTCAGCTCTGTTTTCTTACCCCTGGCTGGTTATATGCCCCTGACACCAGAGTGGGTGGGTGGGTGGGGGGGGTCAGGAAGAGGCAGCTAGCCATTGGAAAGATCAAAGTCAGGGTATTCCAGTGAGGGAGCCCTTATCAGGAACTTATTGCTCTGGTAAACATTTCTTAGGGCACCCGATAGTTTTCAGTAAACAGGTTTTTAGTAAACATTGTCTTACAGCTGCCTGCTCCCAGGCTGATGGAGAAGTGGGCCTCTGGACAAGGTCTTTTGTTCCCACAAGTTTCTCTCAATTTAGTTTGATGTTAACTGTTGGTTTACTGTATATTGCTCTTATTATGTTCAGGTATGTTCCTGTTATCCCTGATCTCTCTAGGACCTTTATCATGAAGGGGTGCTGGATTTTGTCAAAGGCTTTTTAAGCATGTAGTGAGATGATCATGTGGTTTTTCTTTTTAAGATTGTTTACATTGTGGATTACATTGATGGATTTTCATATGTTGAACTATCCCTGCATCCCTGGGATGAAGCCTACTTGATCATGGTGTATGATTTTTTCTGATGTGTTCTTGAATCCAATTTGCTAGTATTTTATTGAGTATTTTTGCATCGATGTTCAGGAAGTTAATTGGTCTATAGTTCTCTTTCTTAGTTGTGTCTTTGTGTGGCTTGGGTACCAAGGTAATTGTAGCCTTGTAAAAAGAGTTTGGCAGTGAGCCTCCTGCTTCCATTGTGTGGAATATTTGAGGAATATTGGAATTAGCTCTTCTTTGAATTTCTGTTAGAATTCTGCATTGAAGCCATCTGGGCCTGGGCTTTTTTTTTTTTTTTTTTTTTTTGGTTGGGAGACTTTTGATGACTGCTTCTATTTCATTAAGTGTTATAGGTCTGTTTAGATTGTTTTTTATCTGTTCTTGGCAAGTGATATCTATCCAGGAAATTTCCATTTCCTTTAATTTTTCAAATTTTGTGGAGTACAGATTTTCAAAGTATGCCCTAATGATTCTCTGGATTTCCTCAGTGTCCGTCGTTGTGTCCCCCTTTTCATTTCTGATTTTGTTAATTAGCATGCTCTCTCTCTGTCTTTTGGTTGCTTTGGATAAAGGTTTGTCTATTTTGTTGATTTTCTCAAAGAACCAACTCTTTGTTTCATTGATTCTTTGCAATGTTTTCCTGGTTTCCACTTGATTGATTTCAGCCCTCAATTTGATTATTTCCTGGCGTCTGCTCCTCCTGGGTGAGTTTGCTTCTTTTTGTTCTAGGACATTCAGCTGTGCTATTAATTCTCTGGTTTGACTGTTCTCCAGTTTCTTCATGTGGGCACTTAGTGCTATGAACTTTCCTCTCAGCACTGCTTTCATAGTGTCCCATAAGTTTGGGTATGTTGTGTCTTCATTCTCATTGAATTCCAGGAAGTCTTTCATTTCTTTTTTTATTTCTTCCTTTACCCAGGGATGGTGCAATTGTGCATTGTTCAACTTCCATGAGTTTGTAGGGTTTCTGCGATTTGTGTTATTGTTGAATTCTATTTTTAATGCATGGTGGTCTGATAAGATACAGGGGGTTATTCTAATTTTTTTGTATCTGTGGAGGTTTGCTATGTTTCCTATTATGTGGTCAATTTTAAAGAAGGTTCCATGTGGCACCGAGAAGAAGGTATATCCCTTTGTGTTTAGGTGGAATGTTCTATAGATGTCTGTTAAACCCAGTTGAGTCATAACTTCTATTAGTTCTTTTGTTTCTTTGTTAAGTTTATGTCTGGAGGTCCTGTCTAGCGGTGAGAGCAGAGTGTTGAAGTCTCCTACTACTAGTGTGTGAGATTTTATGTGCGATTTGAGCTTTAGTAATGTTTCTTTCACGAATGGGTGCCTTTGTATTTGGGGTGTAGATGTTCAAAATTGAGACTTCGTCTTAATGGACTTTTCCTTTGATGAATATGAAATATCCTTCTTCATCTCTTTTGATTGATTTTAATTTGAAGTCTAATTTGTTAGATATTAGGATTGCTACACCCGCTTGTTTCTTGGGTCCGTTTAATTGGAAAATCTTTTCCCAACCCTATACTCTGAGGTAACGTCTGATGTTGAGATGTGTTTCTTGTATGTAGCAGAAGGATGGGTTCTGTCTTTGTATCCCACCTTTTAACTTATTTATTCATTATTTTCCTTAGTCACCATAATGATCAGATGCAACGAACTCACTAAATTCAAAAGATGTCTTCCTCCTTTTGAATTCAGTGATCCTTCTTTGTTTCCTGAGTGCTGAGATTACAGGTGTGTGCCATCACACCTAACATGATTGTTTTGATTTGATAAACCCAGGTCCCTGGAAAACTGGCACTTCTGAACAAGATTTTCCCCTGTTTATATGGCCATTTTTTTCTGCAGCTGTATTCTTGGTTTTGTTTTCTGTGGCCATGGCTGTTTGATAATCTTAATTGATGTGATCTTGGAGCTAGAATTAATGAGCATAATATTGCTTTAAAGCAATCCTTTCCTAGCATCTTTCTCATTCAACAACAAATTAAATTGGACGAAAATAGGAAGGATTCAATATTATTAAAGAAAAATGGGTGAGTTCACCTTATTTCACAACATATGGAAACGAAGGAAAAAGATTGCTGCTAGTCAAAAAGCACAGCAAACACATGGACAAATCAGCAATGTTTATACAAATTTTAGTTTAATATATTTTGAGAATTTCATGCATGAGTATTGTATTTATATTATCTTTGCCACTTGCTCCCTTCTGCACACACAACCTGCCTAGTTCATTTAATGTTGTTCATTTGTGTATCTATTTAAAACTGACCACTTGGGCTTGGATAATCTATCAGGGTCTCATTTCTGAAGAATACTGATTCTCCCAGTCTCAGCACCCATTAATTGCCTGTAGCTCTTCGTCTAGTTCTTCTAAGATTTTCCCCATTCATGTCGGTGTGTCTACTGATAATATCATTGTGCTGGTCTTGTTTAGGTGACCATATTTTTTTAAATTTCATGGGTAAAATTTCCATGCCATATATAGAGGGTACAACACATCACAGAGTTCTGGTTCTCTGACTCTTAAAAGCCTTCCACTTGCTCTTCTATTATGTTCCCTGAGCCTTAGGTATAGGGGTATTGTAGATGTGTTGATAGGGGTTGAGTACCTCAAAGTCATTTGTTCTCTGCATTGTAACCACTTTTGGGGTTATTTATCAGTCTCTGCTGCAAAAAGAAGCTTCTTGGATGAGGGGTGAGAGCTATACGTACTTGTGGGTATAAGGATGGGTATTTAGAATTCAGTTAGGAATTATGCTGGCTCAGGAAAGTGGTAGTAATAGGTTCTCTTCTAAGTTTCATGACCTCAACAGCTAAGGGCAGTTGGCTAGGTTTCCAATATGAATTCCTTCATATTGAGTTGGCCTTAAGTCCAATTAGACATCTGTTGTTTGCCTCCGGGAGATAAGAACCACTATTGGACCCTTGGAGATATCTTGCCATACTGGTTGTTGTTGTGGTTCATAGATTTCACAGCTGTTCAGGACTATTGATTGCTTTTCTCTCTTAGCAGCTTGCATAGCACTTTTGGTCATTTAGATATCTAATGGTCAGGTAGGAAGCTTTAAGGTCAGTTTCAGCTCAGTTCCTTCAAGTGTTGTGACTGAATGTATGGTGTCTTTAGCTATTGGGTCTAACTTTCAAGTTCTATGAGACAACCAAGGGAGATGGCAATAGCTTACACACACACACACACACACACACACACACACACACACACACTCCCCCTTTCTCTCTTTTTCTTTCTTCCTGTCTCTGTGGCTTTTTCAAACATCCTAAGTATTATTTATCACTTCAGTTCTTTTCAATTCTTCCGCCTGTATATTGACCTCGTTTCCCCTTTCCACTTAACGTCTGAGCCATCTCTCCATTGCCCCAGCTTTATTTTGGAGGCTTATTAATTTTGTTTTGTACATTTTCTAAAGGGGTTTTTAGCTCCTGGAGAAATTGATCCCCTGAATCGTAGGTTTTCTACTGTACCAAAGCCAGATGTGGTGGTTCAAGGTATGTATTACTCCCAGCAATAGAAATGTTATATTAAAGGTCTGAAAAGGGGAAGATATTTTGGGGATTTGTGTTAGGCTTCAAAAAGTATATGATAAATTTGGTTCAGTTTTGTTTCAAAATTACTGTTAATAAACAAATCAATGAAAGATGATCTCAGAAAATTATAAAATAGTATTTGATATACCTTATTTCTGGAAACTCTTTTCTTTAAAATTTCATGATGTTTTATTCCCCTGGGTACTGTTACTTCCTTTTTGAACATGCTTTCTATGTTTTTCCTGCTAGTATTCCTTTATTTTCATAACACCCTATGCACTTATATTTCATTGCATTAGATTATTAGACCTGCATCCCTCATAGTACATTTGCTTCTGATCATTATCTCACTAGGGTGTATGTCTAACATTTACCCCCCAAGAATCAACTTAAATGTGAAGGTATTACATTATACAAAACACTGAGCTGAGTACTCTAAACATTAAAAACCCAACTCTTTGGCTGTGTGTGGTAGTACATATTGTGGTGATATATTGTTTATGATATAATAAAGCCACTGGGGATCAAAATACAAACCTAGCCACAGGCATAGAACAAGGCATTGGTGGCACACACCTTTAATCCCAGGACTCAGGAGACAGGCTGATGAATCTCTGTGAGTTCAAGGCCACCCTGGGCTACACTAGATTGAATTAACCAAAAAGAATAAAAAAGAGGCCGGGCGGTGGTGGCGCACGCCTTTAATCCCAGCACTTGAGAGGCAGAGACAGCCTCTGTGAGTTCGAGGCCAGGCAGCCTCCAAAACAATACAGAGAAACCCTGTCTTGTAAAAACCAAAAAAAAAAAAAGAATAAAAAAGAGTAACAGAGCTCACGTCTTTTATCCCAGCACTAGGGAGGTATAAAAGGAGGAAGCAAAGGGTCTTATGTGAGATTTAGTTTCCAGACAGGGAAAGCATTTGCCTCTGAGGATTTGTGGAGACAGGATCACCCATTTCAGTCTGAGATAGAGGTAAGAGCTAGTTGCTAGCTGTTTTGCTTCTCTGATCTCCAGCGTGAACCCCAATATCTGTCTCTGGGTTTATATTTACCTATGTTACAACATACATCAAAGCACTTGGGAGCCAGAGGCAGGAGGATCACTATAAGTTCAACACTAACTTGTTCCATATCAGGAGTTCCAGGATACATAGTTAGACTGCCTTAATTAGGGTTCTGCTGTGAAGAGACACCACGACCATGGCAACCCTTGTAAAGGCACTCACATACCTCACAAAGATATACATGCAGGCAAAATACCCATACTCATAACTTTTTAAATAGATAAGGAAAGTCTGAAAGCTGGGGGGGCAGTGACAAACCACACAAACTTCAATGTTATGGTATGAAAGATTTTACCAAGCAGTAAAAGAAATGAAAATGGAAAGGTAGATAGGGGTTAGCTCATCATGGAAGGATAAGGTGTTACTTTAAGGTTTTGTATATCGTTGTTGGGCACTGTTTCCCACGCTGCATTCTATAGAACTTGTTTACAGGAGCAGAAAGAACTAAAGGAAAAGCAAGCAAATAACCTTTTGAGACCCCAGGAGTACATTCAACCCAAGCAACTGAATTCTTGTTTGTATTTATAAAATATTTAGTCAGATGTCATGCTAGGGATACGTACGCAGACATAATGAGCCCTGACGGAAGGCAGAAAGGAGTTAATCTGAAAGAGGTGATGGTAAAAAGTAAGGGAGAAACTGTTTTGAATTAACGAGACAGCATGCACAAAGTTACAAAAAGTTAACTTTTATTGCTTTGCTTTGCCAGGCCTTCACAGAGTAGCTAGTCACTTGTACCACTAAGCTAGACCTTCAAACTCTGAAACCTTTGTAGTATGAATATGGATTGTGGAGGAGCAGTGATGAAAAACAAGGTCCAGTGCTAGATCACAAAGAGTCCTCGTATGCCATTATGGAGAGACCTGAAATACAAAGCCCCTCAGAGTTGCATCTTAAAAAGAATACACTCAAGTTAATAATTAAAGAATGAAGGGACACTTGTGTTGTCTACAATGATATTTAAAAAGCAAAAGACTGAACTGACAGACCGTACTGAGCCTGGACTGAAGACAGAAAAATCAGTTCAAAATTAATACTGTAGTATAAGGAGATATTGATAACTTACATTAATAGTCAGAAACAATGGATTTCAGAATGACTTGAGAAGTAAAAAAGCCAGATCTTGTTATATAAATACAGAAAATCAGGAATAAATATGAATTGAAAGTGATCATTTGTGTAGCTGGGAGTATCATGTGCCGTTTAATGATACAGTCTCAGAAGGAATAGTAGGCATAGGTGGCATAGTAGGAGGATCCAGCTGATCAACTTTAGTTATATTGAGTCAACAGTGCATAGAAACATTCAAGTGGGGCTGTTAGACATCATTAGAAACAGATGAGATGGGATGATAATAGACTGACTATCAAGAGAAGAGGAACCAGAATATCACTTGGAGAAAATTCAGGACTAGATAAAGAAAAGCCAATGTGCTTTGGTTAAAATTTTTCCATTTCAACGTGGAATCTCATAAATACTGAAAATGCCATTCAGTAGGCACACACAGGTACCTAACCAAAAAGCTAAGTCTCATAGTCATGTTTTTCCTTTCCCATTTATTTTAATATTTTAATCTAGAATAATTCCTGACTAATCAGAATTCCTCAGTAAAATTTTCTCTCGAAAGAAATTATGCACCTGAAAATATTTTTAAGGATCTGGAGAGAGGGCTCAGTTCAGCATTTAAGAGCATTTGTTCTTCCAAAGCACCTACCAGGACCAGGTTCCTTTCCAAGAATCCACATGGTGTCTTACAACTCTCCATAACTCCAGTTTCAAGGAATCTAGTGCCCTCTTCCGACCTCCTTTGGCACCATGGTGGCATGTGGTGCATGGACATACACTCATCCACATAAAATAAATCTAAAAGATATTTTTAAAGTTTTTATTGGACTGAAACCTTCTGTTGACCCCATCTTCTTTCTTTCCTATAGTCTCCATTTTGGCTGAAACAGAAGAAATCAAGGCCATTTTGAAGGACAAAGGAATTGATGTGGAGACCATTGCTGAGGTGTACCCCATCAGAATACAGCCAGCTCGTATTCTCAGCCACATTTATTCCAGTCTAGGTAAGGGATTGACCAGCCTGCTAGAATCAAAGTATTATGTGATTCTGGCTGGTTTCTTTCCACCCCCGCCCCACTCTTTAATTGGTATTGCTTTATTACATTGGATCCAAGAAGGAATTAAGTCCCTGGAATCCAAGATTCTGAACCAGTCTTTATGAGCAGGCTTGATAATTTTAGATGTGTTTTATGCATACTTTGGTATGTTTTCGGACAATATTATATCCTTATTCAAAATGTATATATAAAACTACCTCTCTTAGAACATATATTTTTGTTTTTTGAATACATGATAATTTTATGTAGAGTAGTGATCAAGGAACTTGTTTTAGGTCTTTTATACTTTATCATATAATGAACTAATTTTTATATAATTCCTTAATTTAATATCTTTTGTAAATAATTATTTTAGTCTTTTATTAAATTTAATGATGGAATTTTTACATTAAGCAAATTGTGACACTGTGAACTAAAAAAGATATTGGGGCTGGGAATCTGTAACTCAGTGGCAGAACACTTGCCTAGCATGCACAAACCCAGAGTTCTGGTCTTACTACCAAAAGAAAAGGATATGCAAAATTTCTAAACTTCTTTTGCAAGAGACTGAATAACCATGCCTTCCCCCCAAATATCCAGGTCCTGGTCTCTAGTACCTATGAACATTATCTTATATGGCAAAAATAATTTCGCAGGTGTAGTTAAATTAAGGAACTCAAGATGAAACTATTACTCTAGATTATTGTGGTGGACTCCAAATACAATCATAGGGACATGTCAGGTTACAGAATTAGCTGTGATATAACAGAAATAAAGGACTAGGTATATTAGAAAGGGTTGTCTATAGTAACAGAATTTAGAGAATGAATGAATATATGTATACATATGTGTGTGTGTGTGTGTGTGTAGTCATACACACTCACACATTTATTAGAATGACTAAAAACTGGGTACCTCAGATGGTCTTCAGTATACAACAGAATCCCAAAAAAGTAGGCTCTAACACCAGTGAAGGAATGGACTTTCTTTTTTTCCCATTTAACAAAACCATAAAATTCTTTTTTTCTTTTTTCTTTAAATTAGAAACAAGCTTGTTTTTCATGTCAATCCCAGTTCCCTCTCCCTCCCTTCCTCCCCTGCCCCCCACAGACCCCATATCCCATCACCTTTCTGCTCCCTAGGGAGAGTGAGGCCTTCTGTGGGGGATCTTCAAAGTCTGTCAAATCATTTGAAGCAGGGCCTAGCCCCCCCCCTGTGTCTAGCCTGGGAGAGTATCCCTCTATGTGGAGTGGGCTCCCAAAGTCCATTCGTATACTAGGGATATATACTGATCCACTACCAGAGGCCCCATAGATTGCCCAGGCTTCCTAACTGACACCCACGTTCAGGGGGTCTGGACCTGTCCTATGCTCATTTCCCAGCCATCAGTCTGGGGTCCATGAGTTCCCCCATATTCAGGTTAGCTGTTCCTGTGGGTTTCACCAGCCTGGTCTTGACCCCTGGAATGGACTTTCTAGTGAGGGTAAGAGCAAGCAGGCAAAGAGGGGTGCTTCCTTCTTCCATAGCATGTATTTAGGCTTCCAACAGAGGATGTGACCCACATTTAAGATGAGTCTTCCCACCTCAAAAGATCTGGATTAAAGGTGCGTCTTCCCACTTTAAAGATACAGATTAGAAGTGAATCTTACTGCTTCAAATGATTAAGCAAATATTCCTCACAGGTGTGCCCAGCCATTTTGGGGGCTTTACTTCATTCCAGATGTAGTAACCATCACAGTTCCACCCCTTGTCCATGTGTTATGATTAATTTCCAAATGGAAAACAATAAGTATCTCATAATAATGCCTAATATGATATAGCTATCCCTCACACAACTGCAATGTATTATAAATTTAGAATAAATGGTAATGTCTCTTCACAGATATCCTATCAGTATCTCAAATTTAAATATGACAATCACTAACATTCTCTTAATTGTTGTTATATCACCTGAGACATAAATAGAGGAAAGAAGACACAAATATCTCTACAAATGCATGTTTATTGAAATATGACAGAAACATGTCAATTATAATCCTCATTTCTGCAACTGGCCACATGGCCTTAGCTGGTATTTATAATTGCCTTCCTCTACTACCCCTTCTGCATTTCCTTCACCCTCAGCAGGGCTTGGATCTTTTTCCTGGATGAGTGACACATACCTTCATTCCTAAAAGCTCTGTGTCTTTAGTCATCCTGCCTAGATTAGGAGGTTGTAGTTTCCCATTGACATTACAGAACATGGTAGCACCAAGAAACACCGTGAAGGATTTCCTGCACTTTAGATATAATCTTTCTTACCTCCATTGTGGAGAAGCAGTCCAATGTCCCCTTGGTAATATGAATTAATCACCCATTCTAACACTGTTATTCTTTCTTAACTTGTTGGTTTAAGGGTATGAGAAGCCCAAGTGTCCAGGGGGGACTCTGAGCTTCCAGTTCAATAATGTTTGTTATGGGTTCTAGCAGCTCTCTCTCCTGTAGATTCAAAACTTCTAGGCCTGCAGAACTTACAATCAAGGGAACAAGAAACAAAAACTTTCCTAGTAGGAGTTGGGGGAAGAATAGAGGAGAGCAGGATGAGAGATACTATAATAGAGGGAGCCATTCTAGGCTTGAGGGGAGATCTGGCACTAATGAGATTTCCAGAGATGTACAAGGATGACACCAACTGGCAAACTAAGCAGTAGTAGAGAGACTACTTCAAATGCCCCTTCCTAATAATGATTTGACGACTATCTTACATACCATCCTAGAACCTCCATCCAGTGACAGATGGAAGCAGAGGTAGACACCCACAGCTAAACACTGAACTGAACTCTTGGGACAGAGAGGGAGGAGTGATGAGCAAAGGGGTGAAGACAGGGCTGGTGAAACCCAGAGAAACAGCTGACCTGAACAAGGGGAAGATCTTGGAACCCCAGACTGATGGCTGAGAGGCCAGCATGGGACTGATCCAAACCCCCTGAATGTGGGTGTCAGTGAGGAGACTCAGGCAATCTATGGGGTTTTTGGGTAGTAGATCAGTATTTATCCCTGGCATGTGCTGGCACACATGGTGCTGGAGAAATAGCTGAGATTTGTACATCAGGATCTGCAGGCAGCAGGTTATGGATTTGCCTTTCTTGTATGTATTACTTCTGCCAAAACTATCATCCATGGACTTGTAGAATGTCTTATCCGTGAAACTCCACACACTTCTGACCAAGGAACTCACTTCACAGTCAGAGAAGTTCGACAATGGGCCCACGATAATAGAATCTACTGGTCTTACCGTTCCTACCATCCTGAATCAGCTGGCTTAATAGAAAGATGAAACAGCCTTTTGAAGACACATTTAAAGTGCCAATTAAATCACAGAAACCTTAAGGGCTGGAGCAGGATTCTCCAGAAGGTGGTATATTTTTTTTAATTAACATCCAATATATGGTACTGTTTCTCCCATAGCCTGTCATAGCAGTACCCCACTCCCTGGTACCAACTTCTGTCTTGATCATTGTTCTCTTGCTGTGAATAGAGACCATGATCACAACAGCTCTTATAAAGGAAAGCATTTAATTGTGCCTTGCTTACAGTTTCAGAGGCTTAGTCCATTATCATCATAGTGGCATGCTGGCACACATGGTGCTGGAGAAATAGCTGAGATTTGTACATCAGGATCCGCAGGCAGCAGGAAAGGAGAGTCACTGGGCCTGGCCTGCGCCTTTTAACCTGAAAGTCCACTCCCAGTAACACACTTCCTCCAACAAGGCCACACCTCTTAATCCTTTCAAATAGTGCCATTCCCTAGTCACCATACATTGAAATCTATGAGCTTATGGGGGCCATTTTCATTCAAACCACCAAATTGGGGTTGTGTTGCTATGAAGGTTATCAAGTTATGTCCACAGCCTTTTGAAGTCAGGATTGACAAGGAACGAATTCTCTCCAGAAGGAACCAATAGTATTTATACCTTGTTTTGATTTTTTAATTCTAAATTTAGGACTTTGGACTGCATTCAGAGATTAAGGCTTTGGGTAAATGATGCTTGCTCAATCAGGAAAGCATATACAAATGTTCCCATTTTTAAACTGTGAAACACTTCAGGTTCCAAGTGTTTAGGAGAAAGAATATTCTACCTGTACCAGCAGAAATACTGTCAACTTAGACTGAAAGAGACAGATGACCAATACAGGACAAGCTGAAAGAAGTCTTTTGGGTTTCCAGAATTCTACAGTGGGGAAGCAGACTGAGGAAACTGCTCAGCTGCAACCACGTGCTGCTTTCCAAGTAAAAAGAAGGTTAACTCAAAGGGCCTTGAGGGTGGAACTTCGGCTCAGAGAAGGGACCAACGAGCTACAGAGGACTACTGCTAAGTCTTAAAATCTAATGACATGCCTACTTGAGTCTCACAACTTCTTGGTACTGCTAACTCTTTTCCTCCTTCCATTTTTTCTTTTTTATAATGGGGATGTCCATTGTTTATAACCAATCCTGCTACTGCATTTGAGGAGAAGAAATTGTATTTTCTAGTTATAATGGTCTGCAAATGGGAAGGAATCTTGTTCCAGGATGGCACATATCAAGATTCTCATCCATACCACTTAAAGTGTATTTGGACTTTGGGGATGATGATATTGAGAAGATATTGGACTTGGTCTGATCCTATTATGTTAAAGAGTTTGGGGGATATTGGCATGGGATAAATGTATTTTACATGTGAAAGGAGTGTGTATTCTCAGGACCCAAGGGGTGAACAGTGGAGTGATGAGTATTGTCTCACCCCAGACATCCCTTCATAATCCTGGAAACCTATGAGCATTATTTTATGTGTCAAAGAAGACTTACCAAGCATAATTAAGGATTTTGAGATGTGGAAGAATATACTTTCAATCTCAATTATCCAAGTGGGCCCTAAATGTAGTCACACATATCTCTTTAAAGGGGAATCAAGAGGAAGCTCAGACTATAGAAATGGGAGTTTTGA